GCTAATGTTCAAATATTTACAATCCCCCTTCGCTTTCTCCATTTGCACTGGCACCCACTGCTCATCAAATGCCCAGCCCATGGATAAAAGCAAGAATTGGCATCATGAAACTCTCTCCAAGACCTCCTGAAACTTGTATTCTTCCCAATCCAGACACAGGAAATCAGGTTCTGGAAAATCTGGCAGGGAGGCCTCACTTAGTTGCAAACAGAGCTGATTTCTTCCTTTGTACTAGGTCTTTATGTGGAATAGTCTCCCCCCAATCTATGGTCTCACTTTCATGGTTTCAGTTACGTGTGGTCAGCTGTAATCCAAAAATATTAAAGGAATAATTACAGAAATAAAGAAAATTTTAAAATTGTGTGCTATTCTGTGATGAAATCTTGAGCCATCCATTCCTGGCCACCTGGATTGTGAATCATCCCTTATCTAGTGTCTCCATGCTGTATTTGATCCCTGCCCCTTTGTCACTTAGTAACCCTCTGGCTTATCAGATTGACTGTCACGTGGAATCACAGTGCTTGTGTTCAAGTAGCCCTTATTTTACCTAATACTGGCCCCAAAGCCAATCACATAATTTTAATCATAGTATATTGTTACAATTGTTCTATTTTATTATTTGTTATTGTTGTCAATCTCTTACTGTGCCTAATTTATAAACTAAACTATTATACAGGGACAGGCAAAAGTAGGTTTACAATTATACAAATAAATAATATGATAATAAATAACAATCCTATATATAATAAAAGGTTAATATGCAAATTGTCCCCTTGACCAGGAGTTTGACTGCCCGTGACTTCTCACCCTGGCCAGCCCTGCCCCTGATTGGCCCCATCCACCCTGATCGGGGTGGGCCAGCCAGGCCCCACCTGGGCAGAAATTCATGCACCAGGCTTCTAGCACAATAATAAACTGTTTTGTAAACTCACAACTATAAACCTACTTTTGCCAAACATCATACAGACAGAGTTAGGTACTATCCATAATTTCAGGCATCCACTGTCCACTGGGAGTCTTGAAACATATTCCCACCGATAAGGGAAACTACTCTTGTGACATCTGAATCTGAAATAGTGTAATCGGCTTGGCTCTGAACCATGAGATAGAACCTCAGCGGTGTTACCTTTGAGTTCTTTAAACTTTCTCTTAATAAACACTTATTATATAATGTCCCATAGACTTGGCCATAAGGAACAGAAATAAATAACTTGGTTCTGGCCTAAAGTTCTATCCTAAGGATCAAATCAACCTTAGTTTGATTAAAATAAATAGAAATGTCCCTTTCTTGGTCAAACACAGAGACAGCCTTTAAGCAATCATTAAAGGAATGGAGTTACATGTGCTAAAAAGTAGAATATGACACTGCTACAAAACTTTTCATTAAAACTTTCATTTAGCTGAGCAAAATTCACTAGAAAATAAAGAGTTCCCTCCTCCCCCTACTCCCCATTCCCATGGGAAAGGGGGGAAAACCAATCACTTCCCAATGAAAGTCACAGAAAGGGAAGGGGTGGGGTGGTTGGTTATGCTGATTCCTGCAGGGGTCAAAAGTGGCTATCTGACATCCTCTGAGGGGTCCCGGATTGTGAGAAGGCACAGGCTAAGCCAAGGGACCCCCACTGGTGCACAAACCCATGCACTAAGCCTCTATTCTATAATAAAAGCCTAAATGACTGGACGACCAAACAACCGGTTGACCAGTCACTATGAAGTGCACTGACCACCAGGGGACATATGCTCAATGCATAGGATCAGGCCTCCTCCTGTCTGGATTGGGTCTGGAGGGGTCAGCTGAAAGTGGCTATCCAACATCCTCCAAGGGTCCCGAATTGTGAGAGGGTGCAGGCCAGGCTGAGGGACCCCACCGATGCATGAATCTGTGCACTGAGCCTCTAGTTACTCCATAACTGCACATATGTATTTTATAAACCTTAAGGTATATATGTTATATCCCACAATAGATTTTCCATGTACATGCAAAAGCTAAGTCATTTTCAAAAAATAAAATGGAAGGACAAGGATATGCCTAATAATAAAAATGGTTTAGTATTTGTGCAAGAAAAAAACAAATGTATACATGGAGTAACAGACAATATTTCTCTTTAGGGAATTAGTATAAGATTAAGTTAGCAGTACCAATTGATAGAGAAAGGATGTTTGTTTAGGACATGGTAGTGGGAGAATGAACTCACTCTAGGGAAGGAAATAAAAGTATGTCTTACTTAATCTCACTAGCTAACTAACAAACAAGGGTCTATAACCTTAGAGTTAATAGGAGATAATGTAGGAGAGTATCATTCTGACCTAAAAGTAGGGAAGAACTTCTGAAACAAATTTTAAAAATATAAACTCTAAGACAAAAAAGCTGATTAAGTTTGAGTAATCAAATAGAGGATTTTCACTCAGGGAAGGACACCATTGACAAGGATAACAGATTAATATAATGAGAAATATTTGCAATGTTAAGCTAACAAGGTATTAATAAATAGAATATATTAGGAATTCTTGAAAATAACAAAGTTGAGATAGTAAACTCAATGAATAAGAGACAATTTACAGAACGAGTTGGGGGAACTAAGCACAGAAAAAGATGCCATTAGTAATCAGAGAAGTGTCAATTAAAGCAGCACCTTAAATCGCTTTAAATCTATTTGACTAGCAGAGATTAAAAGGCTAGATATTGCCAAGTGTTGGTTGGAGGGGGGGTATATAAGGAACTTTGTGCCTGGTTAGTAAGAGCGTAGATAGTTGCAGCCACAAGAGGTAAGACCAGAGCTCAAGGAGTCATAAGCACCATAGGGTTCGGAGCCATGTCTGTCCCAAGGTCCATACTAGCAAATCACACTTGTAATACCTCTTCCCTCAGATAATTTCAAATTTTAGTGCTGCTCAAGACATTCTGATTTATAGACACACAATTGCATGCTGTATTGTGGCTTCAAGAGGTTTGTGGAAATATAGGTTCTAGTTTCTATCTCTTAGGGCAGGAAGGCATCAGAAAAATGGAGTCCCACCACCTCTGGCCGAGTTGGGGTTCAGGCATGGGTATTTTATAAAATCTCACCACACTGTTCTAATATGTAGCCAGTGTTTTATTTTTTTAAAATATATTTTATTGATATTTTACAGAAAGGAAGGGAGAGAGATAGAGAGCTAGAACGTCAATGAGAGAAACATCAACCAGCTGCATGTGCCACAACCAAGGCACATGCCCTTGGCCGGAATCGAACCCGGGACCTTTCAGTCCACAGACCGACACTCTACCACTGAGCCAAACCGGTTTCGGCTGTAGCCAGTGTTTTAAAACACTGCACCCAAAGGGTATTGGAAGAGAGGTGATTTAGTGCCTCCACCACACCATCAAAGAACACCTGGTGCACACTTGCTATGATTGATATACTGTGTTTGTACTGTCACAATACTGCAGGCATTTGTCTATAGCAAGAAAACATCACTTATCTTTTGCTGAAATTCACTTTCTCATGCAATGAGGGTGTTCTGAAAAGCAATTTACTGTAGATGTGAAAGACCATAATTAGCATAGTCAAAGGCAAGTCATCCAATTGAGGAAAACCAAGAAGAATGTGCTTAAGTAGGAGCAGAGAATGCAATGGGAACTTTTAACACTCGGCTTGATACTGTCTAGAACAGACATAGCAGAAAAAGCTCAGTCCATCAGGGATGACTTTGGGAATGGGTGAAATAAAGACTTACCTCAAAATTGTGTTCACTGAGCTCCAGGCATTGGCTGGCAGCAGAATCCTGTGGTTTCAAACAATTTAGCTGAATCACATAAACCTGCAGAATGTCATTGATTCCATTAAGAAGTAAAACCTAAATGAAGAACAGATGGAATGTTCTGTGGACTGTTAGCAATTTCCACTCCAGAAAAAAAAAAAAATAGTGGTTTCTGCAGTGAATCTGAAGATTGTTTGTAGGTAGAATGTAAATGAAGATCTTTGGAAAATAAGCTGTCAGTGAATGAATTCTATGAGAAGTCTACTGATATTCAAAGCAATCACATTATATGCTAAAAGTAATACAAACACACAATACATACCTAATTAGTGAAAATAATAAAGTCAGATGTGCCTTGCCATTAACACATTTAAATATGTCCATCCTTGCTGAAACCGGTTTGGCTCAGTGGATAGAGTGTCAGTCTGTGGACTGAAAGGTCCCAGGTACAATTCCAGTCAAGGGCATGTACATTGGTTGCGGGCACATCCTTGCTAGGGGGTGTGCAGGAGGCAGCTGGTGGATGTTTCTAGCTCTCTATCCCTCTCTGTAAAAAATCAATAAAATATATATATTTAAAAATAAATAAATATGTCCATTCTTTCCTTATCTTTATCTTGCTGCCTACACTCCTTTCCAGAATTTTTTTTTTTTTCCTGATAGGCACTAGCTCATTTTTATGTGCTTCTGAAATTCTCTCTCAGTGTCTTCTAAGACACTAGACACAGACATTCAACATAATTTCTACTTGCCTAGGAGAGAAGCCAGATAGTCAATTTTCTCAACTTCTATGGTAGGTTGGACAACAATTGTCCAAACACCCTGGTTCTCTCTTTGGCATGCTGTTCTCAGTGGGCCAAGGATACATCTCTATGCTCGTGAACTTAAGAGTGACCATAGAACTTAGTTTAGCCAATGGTATGTTATTAGAAGTAACCATATGCCATTTCCAGATAGAAATTTAAGAGTCTGTATGTATTTCACTGTTTCTTTTTGTCCCCAAACTGGTAATATTCTAGGTAAAGTCTGTGTGCCAGATGGATCTTGGTCTGGGTAAAGCCTGGCTCTCCTTCAGCTCCTACCTGCTTGTTCTCTTCTCCTTTGCGTGTCTCGGCAGCTGTTTATGCTTTCCTCTGTGTTCCCTGGACCTCCCTCCCCCCCACACCCCATGAGCAGTTCAATGGCTGGAGGGGCGGGACCTTGGCCGGGGGCGGGCGCGGGGGGGGGGGGGGGAGGGAGGGGGAGCAATTTCCCATGGTGCAAGGTTGCAGTCAGGCAGGTTCTCCTTGTCCCTATACCAGGCCATCCACTGTTAGTTTGCCTCAGGCCATGGCAAAGCTGATGGTGCTCACCCTCTTGGGGCTGGCAATGACAGGCTTCAGGGATCACCCATCTTACCAGTAAGTTGAGTTATGGTGTGGGCTGCAGCACCTATTCTCCCCACCCCAACCCCTACCAACCCAGGACACCCCCACCCCCCAAAGTGGGGTCCAGGCTCTTAACAGAAAACCTGCAGGCAAGTGCTGGATGGACTTCCCTCAGGGGTTTTGTAAATGATTGTCCAACTTTCCTCTGGCCCTTGGAAACATTTCTTTGCTCAAGGTCTGAGGGATGGGGTAAGGAGACAGTTGTCAGTGCTGTGAGTGGCCAAGCTGGCATGCAGGAATTAATTTTCATGAAGATCTGAGTGCCTGGCTACAGATTCGCTTCTCAATCTCCCTTCAAAACAAATAACCAGGCTGGGGTCGCCCTGATATTGTGTGAATCAGGGAAAGGAGTCCCCACCGTGGCCCATGTCTTCCAGTGGGGATTAGGGAGGAGGGGTAGAGAGGGGGGAAAACCCTGGCACTGGCATTTGATATCCTGGGTTCTCACTCTGTCCCTTTTCCATTGTGGGATCTTGGACAAATCATTTTACATCTCTAACATCCTGCTTCCCTCATATAGGAAGCAACTAACACTGTGCCTGGGTAAATGTTAGTGCCCTACTTCCCTTAAAGAATGTATTTGTTGTTAGATACTGAGGGAGGGGGCTGGTTTTAAGAACGGATCAGTTGTTTTGAGGTAACTTTTTATAGGGGTTGGGTTCAAAGTCTAGAGATCATTTAATCCCTACCTTGCTGTTGACTTTGAAGTAAAACATTACTAAAAATCAAATTGAACATTTTGGAGTTAAAAAAATTATATAACCATATGGATTAATTAGAAGCTTACATTCTGAGGTGTTTTGTTTTTTGTAATTAATTGATATTTTTATTTTATCTTATTTTTTAAGAATATATTTTATTGATATTACAGAGAAGAAGGGAGAGGAATAGAGAATTAGAAACACCGATGAGAAACATTAATTAGCTGCCTCCTGCACACCTCCTACTGGGATTGAGCCTGCAACCAAGGTACATGCCCTTAACCGGAATTGAATCCAGGACCCTTCAGTCCACGGGCTGACGCTCTATCCACTGAGCCAAGCCGGTTAGGGAATTCATTGATTTTTTAAATAAACTCCCCTCCCCCCCTTCTAATTCTTGGTTATTTTTTGAATCATAAACAGCTAGGAAAAAAAGTAAGACATAGTGGTTTGAGGTTTTAAATAATGGAAAATTGGTTTGTGGGTTTTATTCATCATGGAACTATTTGCTACCAAAGGGGAATATATCTTACGTGCTCTATCATATGTGTGCATTGTGATCTCACCCTCGGATGCAAAGGGAAGAGGAACCATCTAACACCCACCTGAGCTTTCTCCTTTGAGTTCTCCATTCGCAGCCGCACCTCCTCGCTCCCAGCCTTCCCTCATGGAGATGTCTTCTGGTGGGAGGGAGCTTCAGTCCTCAAACTTGTGGCTTGATCAGATGACTGAGTAGGGAAAAGGAAAGCGGAGTGGGTTGGACCTCTGTTTTTAGAATGGAAAGAGGGCTTGAAGAGCAGGCAGAGAAGCAATGCAGGGTTGAGAAGATGGTGGTTAGGGTGATGGAGGATGGTTGCAGAAGCTGCTGGAGCAGCTCAGACAGGGGCAGGAAGGAAAATTGCTCCCACTGTCAGAAAGGCCCTAAAGCTTCCCTAGTCAAAGGGGCGATGGCCCAGACACATGAGCATCACTTGGGAGCTCCCTGCACCTGCAGAGTCTTGGGCCCCACTCCACACCATTGAATCAAAATCAGCATTATTTAACAAGCTCCCCAGGGGAGCTGTATGCACTTCTCTAAAGGACAGTCAACTCCTGTGTCACCCGTGCTAGAGCAAAACCAGAAGATCCTGGAGGATCAGTAAAATGCCTTTATCCCCATTTTAGAGGTAAGGCCGCTGAGTCTCAGAGAAGATCATGAATCTACCCAGGGGAGAGAAGAGCAGAGATTCTGTCCTGAGGCCTGCATCTGGGCCAAGCCAGATCTCCACTGGATACATGTTTTTTTTCTTCAGAGATGGGTGCATGGGAGTGCGGAAGTTATATAGGCCTGAGGCTCTGGGGAACTAGTGGGAGGACACAAGAGGTGTCTTGGCACTGTTCCTGACTCCTCCAATGCAATGATTTTCCTGTTGATGTATGATTTATTTTGGCCACAGATTTGATCTCAAAGCCACTTAGTGCTAACTTAATACCTCCTTACCTACCCTGGACTTGTTTTAATTGTGATCGTTCTGTTCTCCAGGTTTGAGATGCTCTTCCCTGAAAGAAAAGCTAGAATTAGAATAGGGGCTGGGTAGTTTAGCTTTTCTCTGCCCTCCACGAACCTATTACATTTAATGAACTTGGAGAGCAGGCAGCATGCCCACTCTTCTGGTGTGGTTTTGACTCTAAGATAAGGTGACCAGATTTTAACATTGGTAAAGCAGGACACCATTGGCCGGGGTGGGGAGGGGGTGGGGATGGGAAGGTGGTTCTTGATTAAAAATTTGGTCTATATGGAGCAACAAAAATTTTCATAGAATGCAAAAATAGTATTGTAATATATTTTTTTAAATTTCAACTTAAGTACAATTTACAAATACAATAAATAAATAAAAATTATGTATAGTCGTAAGTGTCACTTTCAAGGCCAGCGCTAGACTTTTTGCCGCCACTATAAAATATAAATAATACAAGTACTGTCTGCTAAGTTCAAGAAAATTTATGTATTTATGAAATAAATAAATAAATTACTTACCTAAATTATCTGAATAGCTGATTTGTAATGACATCACGTGTTTAACTAGCTTACTAGCATGCAGTATGATGTGTATTGTCTGAGAGACAGTTACAAAATGTTTTCATTGTTGCCAATCCCAAAAAATGCCATTGTTCATTAAGTCCAAACAATGGTTGTTGAATTCTAACAACTGATCAACAATACAAACTTTGATAAGCAGTTCTCGATAATCAATTCTCAACAATTATTTGTTATTATTAAAGTTTAACATTATAAAATTAACAAAAATAATATAAAGCTCATATCCTGGCTAAATAGCCACATGGCCGCCGAAAACCGTATATTCCCTTCAGTTTCTTCCACCAGACGCAGGAAAAATTGTTAGAAACTGGGACTGTCCTGCCAAAAGCAGGACGATCTGGTCACCTTACTCTAAGATGAACTAATTTGGCTCTCCTTGACATTTTTCACAAGACTTGGCCCGTTTAGCAATTTCACATCCTTGATTCTCTTCTTTCATGCCATTCTTTGTACTGCCCTTGGTTATATCTTCTCCCTTAACATATTGTACCGCTCCTTTGAGTTCCTTGAAGCACTGTATGAATATTCACTGAATTTTCTCTAGGCCAGTGCTTTTAAAAATGGTGGGTCACAAAATCCATGCAGCAGATTATGACCAGTATTTTTAAATAAATGAAATAAAATTAAATAGAAAAGTTAAGGAGGTACCTAGCACATGTATCAGGTTAAGAATTCGTTTGTGAACCTTTTTCAGATGGGTGTGGTGTGTGGGTGTGTGAATGCTTTTCCTAATGTGGGTCTCAGTCCAAAAATTTTCAAGCCACTGTTCCCTCATTTACCCTTTTTATTTCTCTATTGTGCACTTTTGTGATTGTATGTCAGATTCCCATTTTTGAAATGCCTTTTCGTTTCTCATGTCCTGGGGCAGATGCTTACCTTCCTTTAAAGTCCATTTTTCCTTCCTTCCTTCCTTCCTTCCTTCCTTCCTTCCTTCCTTCCTTCCTTCCTTCCTTTTCTCCTTCCCTTCTTCCCTCCCTTTCTCCCTCCCTCCCTTCCTTCCTTCCTTCCTTTCTTTTATATAATAGTTTATTGATTTTTAGAGAGATGGGAAGAGAGAAGAGAGAAACATCAGAAACATCATGGCTGCCTCCTGTACTCCCTTCTACTGGGGATCAAGCCTGCGACCCAGGCATGTGTCCTCACCGGGATGGAACCGGCAACTTTTTGGTGCATGGGGATGATGCCCAACCAACTGAGCCACGCTGGCCAGGACTAAAGTCTTTTTTCTAAGTTCATATTCATCATTTAGGGAACCGCCAGCACATTGCAGGCTAGGCCTTCCTCTTCTCTGGATCTCTGGCAGCCAGACTGGTGGTTCTCTACCTTGGTTGAACATCAGGATGAACTTGGTGCTTTGACAAAGCCAGTTACTGGACCTCACTCCTAGCCTTTTAGGTCAGACCCTCTTAGAAGGTGAAATTGATAGCCAATGGCATGGTAGTAGGGCCATGCTACATTTTTTTTTTTCCTGAATGAATAATGAAAGATCAATTGCCCCCAAATCCCTGTCATTGTGTACCAGGTTGGTAGGTATTTTATCCAAACTGTTCATTACTCTCTAGCCCATCCTCCTCCTTCTGTGAGACTAAATTATCAGTAAGGCAATTTATTTTTGGCCTTTCTTTAGCCAAATAAAATGTCCAGGATTCTTAGGTAATTGTTGCTGCTCACTATGGCTATGATACTATATTGCATCATTAGTTGTAAAAAGTGTTTATTGTTTAAATCTGTTGGCGATGCTAATGTTCTAGTCCATTTCTTTCAAATGCCTCATCAATAGCTTTGCTCCACTCAGGCAGCCTGCTGGTACTTCCTTCTCACATCTGTTCTTTTCCCCTTTGCCCTTCACTCCAATGTCCCCCTTGATGCCTATGAACTCATATTTAGTACGCTGCCTTTGGGTATGTTTGTGTGATACACTCCTTTCTACGCTGGCCTCGGGTAAGATTTTCTGAAGCTATAAATCCTTTTAAGCACACCTGCATTTTTCAAGTCACGCACCTGAAAGCAGATGCCCAGTCCTGACTTTGGAGTCAGACTGGGCAGACGGGCTGGAGACCCATCTGTCAGCGGCTCTAAAACATCAGTGAAATAAATTGGAACCATGTTGCTTATTTAATTCAAATTTCCACCTAGGCCTCCTTACAGGGCTGATGAAATAGTTCCTGTTCCTGCCAGAGTACACACAGCCCCGGAAAGGATATTCATAGTGTATCTTCTTTGCGTATCTATTTACCTCAGCCTAAAAAATACTACATATTGTGACAAGAAACCCCATGCATTTGGCTCTGGCCCTGTCTCGTAGAATTGCTCAAGTTCCAAGGACCAAAAACCCTGGGGTTGAAACCCAAAGTACAGTTAAGGAAAACTTTGTTGGCTACTTACCTTTGCAACTTAATTATAATTTCTGATTAGTTTTATGTGTATTTTATTCCCCTTTTTTCTGCCCCCAGAAAACGATTTGCAGCTTCTCGAGAAGTAGAACCAGTAGACCTTCCTAACTGTAATTTAGTGAAAGGAATAGGTAAGTATGTGAGAGAAGGAAGTATCTTATTTAAACTTGCAGTATGACCTTGCTATTTATGTAATTAGGACACCTGTTAAACTTTGTTCAAAAATTAAACTGTGAGCCAGAAGAGAACTATTAAGTCAGGTAATTTAAAATAAATTACATTGGCCTTCACTAACACATTGCCAAGGTGTGGACCGTGGTGTTTTGATCGTGTTTTCTTTTTTTGTTTGTTTATTTTGGTGTTGTTGTTTGGCCCATTTAGCAAAAACAATGGAGCATTAGATTTCATGGTGATATAACCTGAGGAAGTGGCAGAGGAGAGATAAAAGAGGGAGAAAAAGCAGTGAGTAAAGGGTTGATTTTTAGAAAGCCCTCCCACACCTTTGTAATTACCACAAGGCTTCTCCTCATGCTTCTCTCCTTTAATATCAGGGAGGAAAAATTTCCCCAGAAGCTCTCAGCGGATTTCCCCTTGGATCTTATTAGTCAGAACTAAACAACCGACTGGTGCCCTAGCTGCAAAGGAAGCTGGAAAAGTAATTATCAGGCTTCCTTTGTAGGAGGCAGGCTCTGTCAGCAAACATAAAAGGGCAGGGGAAGAACAGTTGGGGTAGGCAACCAACAGGGAGTGTCACAAGACTTAAGTTCCCATCTGATTGAAACCAACCAGCTTTGTTAGTAGAGCACGGCTTATTTGAGATCCATACTTAGGTTGTTTTCTGTTTTGTTTGTTCTTTTTTTCTTTTTAGAATTATTTATGTTACTTGCCTAAGGTTAGAAAGGCTAGACCAGGTGACTTATTCAGTTAGCATGTAAAGCTTGGTTAGATATTTCAGAGAGCAATTTTTTTCTAAAAACAAATACAATATTGATATTAAATATTACTAGATATCTGAAAAACAAACTCTCCACTAAGAGTATCAGTACAAAACTAAAAGATCTTATCTGTTTCTAGACTGGTTGATTACACATATTTAAAGTATAACTAACTTAATGATATTTTACTGATGTTTATAATTAATAGTAAATGCATACACTGCATTTGAAATATATTCTCATTTCAACTGAAACAATTAGATTTGGCTCATGTTTCCAATGTGTTTTTCAAAGAGTTTATTTGATTTGGAATTCTTAAGAATTAATATATATTGATAGTTTACTCTGTATCTTTAAAATAAACAAGCTATTTTCAAATTATTGCACCTTTTGCACATTTTGTGAATTTCCATGAACTTTACATGAGATTTTAGACTCTGAGAAAAAACTTCTAGTCTTTCAATTTAAAACAAATATATTAAGTGTAAATTTTAATTATACTTAGTTTATATTAATGTCTTTTAATTTTATATAATCACATTGGTCAATTAGACGAATAAAGGAAAGGATTAATTATTCTGACCCTCTCAAAAAGAGCCAAATATGTAGTCCCATTTTTAAGTTAGGAATGATAAAAAAATAAAAGTAAAAAAGGGACCACGAGTTTCCTGCAAGAGTGTGATATGTTATCTATTCTCTTTCCCGGCAGAAACGGGTTCTGAAGACTTGGAGATACTTCCTAATGGACTGGCTTTCATTAGCTCTGTAAGTGTTTCAAAAGACCCTTTTCTAGAACCAGTAGCTTAAGTCTTTCATTTAAGCCTTCTATATACCCATGCTTAACTTCAAATAAAATGAGCAGTCCCATGGCTCCAAAAGCAAACTGTATATGCATTTACACTGGTGTTAGAATTATGACCACATGTGTTCCATGCACTTTTATTTGTATCTCGGTGTGCACACTGAACTCTTATTTTATCTTATCTTCCATAGTAACAATTTGTGAACCCAGTGAGTAACAATGGCTCTCCATTCAACTATCTATCCCTCGAAGCTAAATGGTATCCTCAAATATTTGCTAAATTAGTCTACTTTTATACCCCTCCACATGTCAATTAGCTTTTTATACTTTTCAGAGTTAAGTTCTTTAATTTAAAATTGCTAATAGGTTATTCCATAATTTCCTGACTTTGAAGAGAGAGTCGACCATGTTTGTGGAAACTCTCATACATACAGATCACTGTGGTAGTCATACAGCTCAAACAAAAGGGGTTGACCATCTAGGCCTGGCTGAAGGAGTTCGGAGGATTCAGTATATAAGACATCCAGCTGCTGAAGACCCTTCGCTGCCGGTTGTAATTTATTTAGTTCAGTTTTCTCTAATAAAGATGGAGGACTACAACAATCTTTAGCAAACCTTTTTCAAAGCAACAGTATACAGATTTTAAGCAGATTTTCATATAGGGCCCCAATGTCTCAAACAAACAAGAACTGCATTGTTCTATGAAGGTGAAGGAGTTGTATCCAGGCTCACTAGATTTTCCCTAAACCTCTGTGCCTGAGATGCTTTCAAGAACCTGTGAAGGGATGGTCTGAAAACCATAAACAATGTTCTCTTCATAGTCCTTGCTAATGCCGGGGGTCTTATCCAGCATCTAGAAGGGTTTAGGAATCTGGAGAAGGGGCTGCTATAAATTATTAAAGATTCTAGAGACGAAACATAATTTTGGAAAGCGTTTTGGGGAACCAGAAGATCTTGGCTATATGAACCAAGTTCTCTTATCTTTCTGGACCCCTTGCTTTTTATTGACACAAATTGTACTAAAGCAAGGTAGAAATACATATCAAAGACAAGGTAGGTTTAGTATACAGAATCCATTGTCAGATTGGGGGAACTGCCTAGCTGTTCAGGTGTTTGGCTAGTAGGAGGCAATAACATGTAGATTAAAATGCCCTCAGATGTCAGGCAGCAAGTAATCATCTATGCCACATGTGTCAAACACAAGGCCCGCAGGCCAAATCCGTCCCGCCAGGCCTTGCAATGTGGCCCGCACCGCGCTGTCATCACTGCACTCTGCTGCGTTTCCATCACAATGACAGTTTATGACTGTTCAGTAAACCATTCGGCCCGCGATTTAGGCTGGATTTTAGATTTTGGCCCCTTCTCTGATTGAGTTCGACACCCCTAATCTATGCAGATCTTTAGGAGTGGGGAAATGCCCTTAGCCATTTCCAGCAGGCAATCCTCAAGGTTCCATCAACCTTTTGATGAATCTTCTTGCATATATGACATGCTGGGATTAGCTTCTGGCACTTGTTTACTAGTATGTTGTTAAACACCTTTAGTAAATGCCCCTTTGGCCTGCTCTTCCATTTTTTATCTTTCTCATGGGTTGGTATCTGTGACATGAGACACATATGACTCCACTGCTGGTCATGGGTTTGTGCCTATGAGTGAAGGGTTCCCTGATGGAGCATTTGGTTTGCAGAGCCCTCGGTGGGCCCATTGCAGAAACCAGCCAACAGGCTGCCTATGTAGCCTTGTTGCATGAAGCAGACAGAGTGAACCCATGGGCCATCTACCACCTCCATCACCATTTGTAATGGGCCCGGTTTTTCTCCTTCATTATTCATAAGGGATTAAAATACCCTGGAAATAAGAACTTTGACTCCAATACACCTGGAAATATACTATTGATGGACCTAAATGAGGAAGATCCAACAGTATTAGAATTGAGTATCTCTGGAAGTAAATTCAATATGTCTTCATTTTACCCACACGGGATCAGCACATTCACGGATGAAGGTAACAATGTGTAATGTTTCTTAGAAATAAAACCAAATTTTAGAAAGTTAACCCATAAATATTTCTTTTCAGACAACTAAAGTATAATCATGGCTAATGCTTTTATTCTGCATTCTAAACTTACCCCCTACATTAAATAAATATATTGTAATTACTTAAATACTTGAGAATGTTAAAATATTTAAGTTTTCTAAAGCACCTAATTTTTCAAACTACTACCAACATTCACATCTCTATAATTACTGTAGTCAGCCCTAATAGGATGGGTTTTCCATTTTAAATCATTTTACAGATCCAGGCATGACAGGAATAGATTGTCTAACATAAGGTACCTGTAGCCTATACGTCCGGTGACAGAAACTCACTGTGGTCAGCTTTGGCTCCCTGTCCACTGGTTACTCTGTTTTGTCTTCAGACTGTGTCTCCATATTTTAATATGTTGCCACACCCCCTCATCTCCTACGTCTTCAATTCAATTTCTTCCTTTTTTTTTTTTTTTTTTCTGCAGCCATTGCCTTTGTCTCTACACTAATTCTTAACCCCAAATTTCACATGGAAGCACCTGTGAAGTTTTAAACAGCCTGATGCCCAGGCCTCAGCCCCTAATATTCTGAGTTAGTCACATGGACTCACAGAGTGGCTTCCCTTTGACACTCTCTCTCAGGTGTCCTTTTTATGGAATTTATCATCTTTCACTGTGTAAACTGTACCTGAACACACCTTCTCATATTATAATAGTATTTTCCACCTCTTTTATCTCAATTCCGCATCTCGCTGAGACCATCTGCAAGAGAAAGTTTAATAAGTTTTTTGGAGTTTTAGTATCAAGCACTGCTCATTCTTAATTTAAGATTATTTTCCCCCTGGTGGAGTTTGGAGTTTTCAGAGACTGTCACTGGTTCCTCCTTTAGTCATTTCTCTTTGGAACAATTGCAAATGCTCCTCTCTAAAAAGAGATGAAAATAGTCCATCTGCCTGACACCCTAAGTGCCAGTTGGAGGTGGGTTGAAATTGCTTTTTGGAGATAGTTCTGACAGCTGAGAGCTCAGTTAAAGTTTCGATTTTTGTTTTTAATCTCTTCTCAGATAATACTGTGTACCTGCTGGTGGTGAACCATCCAGATGCTAAGTCCACCGTTGAGTTGTTTAAATTTCAAAAAGAAGAAAAATCACTTTTGCATCTGAAAACTATCAGACACAAACTTCTATATAGGTACTGAAATCTGTCTATTTCTATTTCCCTTTCATTCATTTGTAATTTTTCCTTGTGGTTGGGGGATAAGGAAGATAATGGCTCTTCACCCCTCCCTTCTAATTATCACACACTTCTGCAAATGCTCAGTCCTGCAGAAACTTTTGAGGACCAAGGCCCCTCAGAGAAGACCCATTCCCTGTGGCCACTTTCCCAGGCAGGCTGGATACAGCTTATGACTCCTGGCCTCTGCTCTTTGCCACGAACAGACTTAGTATTCCAAACCCAAACCAGTTTCATAGACGAGTTTTGCATTTTGAATGTATTTATTTTGGTTATTTACTTTTGTTTTTAAAAATAGAATCTTAGATGTTTATGAATTAGACACACATGCCCGAGAGCAGATCTGAAAGCAGATGCCTCCAAGACCTTCCTGCACTGCCTCTACTTCAGTGAGGTTGCACAGGACTGGTGAAATGGCAGGTCTGTGGGAACACTCAGCTCCATCCTGGGCTCCTGGACCACATAGCATATGGGAAAAGTACCCAGGCAAGGACCCTCTCAATCGCACACAAAGTTGACTTCTTTGCTTACCTTAGGATTTGATTCATGAGGCAAGTGATGGATTTAGGATAATAATCTGACACTAGCTTCCCAAACAGTTTTCACCCTCTAATCATTATGGTTTTCTAGAAACCCAAACTCTATTTGAATGATTGACATGCAGTATTCAACTACCTTGGTATTTGTAAACCTAGATTTCTTTTAAACCACGTGTTACTCAAATGCAGGTACCTAGTCAAGCACCTGGCACGTTATTTGCACTGAGTGTTACCCGTGCCCTTTCCTCTCCTTTCTTACCTGGTGGTGTTGAAGATGAAGAAGCAGATTGGAGAGAAATTGAGTCACTGGAGGAAGGTCTATCAATCACATAGTGGCTGATGAGGAACTATGGCCCAGGTCTTCTTCTGCATCCCAGGGATGAGTGGAAATTCGGAGATCTTTTATGGGAGAGTTTATTCATACAATCCTTCCATAAATATGTTTTAGAAAGAGAATGAGGATACTGAGAGTGTGCCAAATACCAAGATCTAAATTAGGGAAAAGTATATACAGTAGTAGTAACAGAATGAGCTTTAACTATGTTAGGTGCTGCAATAACCCATTTAAACAGGTTATCTTATTAACTTTTTACAAATGCCTTCTTGCTTAGGTTTCATTCTTATACCAGTTTGGCTTTTAAACATTTGTAGCCTGGAGTAATTATCGATAAGTTGCCCCAGATGCCGCCAATAGTAAATGGTACAGCTGAGATTTTGATCCTGGTAGCTTGACCCTGGAGCTGGTGATCGGGCCACTATGAAATAGTGAAAAGTTATTTGTTTCACCATCTCATCTTGGAAATTCAGATTTGTCTAATTTCCCAGGATTTCTTTTTCTGAGCCAACTGCAAAAATATTGGTCATTGGCAATGTAGAACCAAACTGAAAATAACTCCAGTGCCCCAATTCATTGCACTCTCAACCCAAGAACTACCCTTGTATATTTTCTGTATTGTATTTAATCATTGTTTATAGCATTAACTTACAACTTACTAACATATTATAATTTAACTGTGTTATTATTAATAATAACACAATGGTCATTATTGGTCATTTAACTATATACTAGGCATGGTGTCCAGGGCTTTGCATTCATTATTTCATTTCATTCTTACTACAGCTATTGAAGGTATAGTGTGGAAACTGAGGCTTAGAGTTCAGTGACATGCTAAGACCCCACAGATGACAGCAAGCAAGACAGGATTCAAATGGTCTCCATCTGGTTTTAAAACTATTACTCAAAAGTTTAACCATTCTCCTCTGTTCCTTTGTATGAAAACCAGCAAGTGATTGTAAAGCATACTATTTGGAAATGTGCTTTTAAAAAAGAGAGAGAAAGAAAACCTCTAACTTGCAGGTTTATGCCTAAAGCCCATACAGACTCAACTTAAATTCCTAGACCATTTTTTCCTCATTTAGTGATAGTGGCTGCTATTGATTGAGGGTTTAGTGAGTGGCAGGCTCCTTGCAAAGCATGTGACAGGCATTGTTCATTGTAATTCCCACTGCAACTCCACAAATTAAGATTCTGACCCTTATTCTTATACTAATGAGCTGTATGACTTTGGGAAAATCATTTAACCTCTCTTTACAGATGAGAAAACTGAGGCTTTTGTGCACTTATCTAACTCGCCCAGGAGCCCAGAGCACATCAGCGCTGAAGTGCTGGCCATTAGGGCCTCCGCAATAGAGGAGAGATAATTCTCTCCCAGATAATAGCTCCGGGAAACTTCTGTCACCTCAATCAGCAAAGAATGACTCACTTATGTGTTTGCTGTTGTACCTATTAAAGCAGAAAAATAGACTCATATATCTTAGATTTTCAGTAACAGAGAGAGAATCAAAATCAGAAAGGAAAGAGAAAACACCATAGCTTCCTGCTTCTGAGTAGTCTTGTTCATGGACATTTTATTCAGTTTAGAATCATGAGACCTTAAAGCTGGAAGCGACTCTAGAAAACAGAAAGACATCAGCCCATCTCTTCTTCTTTTTACAGATAAGGAAACTGAGGCCCTGACTTGTGAGATGATTGATTTTCCCAAACTCACACAGCAATAATAGTAGCAGAGCTTTAAAATGCAAGTCACAGTGTTGCCAGTATTTGTTCTCTTGTCTGAGGATGCTGTGGATGTTCTCTATGAGAATAAGTGCTATATGAGCATAAATAAGTTTTGCCCTGATAATGATTCCCTGTCTAATTTAATGTCTACTGAATTTAGTATCTACACACATACACACACACACACACACACACACACACACACACACACCATAGCACTTTTAAGATACAGTAAATAGCACTTTTATATTACACTAGTGGCCCAGTACACGAAATTTGTGCCCTGGGGGGGCGGTGGGGGGTCCCACAGCCTGGCCTGTGTCCTGTTACAGTGTGGGAGTCCCATGATAGATTGTCCCAAAGAGGTAGGCCCCGGCCACCCATCCAGGGCTCCTCGATAGATTGCCTCAGAGGTAGGCTGGAGCCGCAGACGCCAAAATTTCCAAGCCGAGTGAGGACCCACTGGCCCTGCCTCCCCTGTGCTGTGCAGAGGAGGCCGCCCCTTCCCCCCCAGACTCCTGCACCATGTGGGGACCTGCTGGAGCCACCTCCTCTGCCCCACATGGAGCCACGGGGCCCCCAGGCCTGGCTGCGCAGGGAGCTGGGAGGAGGCAGAACCCCCAGGCAGGCTCTGTGCCACGCACACAGTGTTAAGCCCAACTTTGCCCACCTGCATGACCCACTGTGCGTGCAGCCATCTTGTGATGGTGTGAGGACATCACAGTGTGATGGTGTGAAGACCACCTAGGCTTTTATTAGTAAATTTGTAATCACCTCTTGGGTTCTTTTATTTCTTTCTTTTTTTCTTTTTTTTTTTTTTTTTTTTTTTTTGTTCATCTGAGGACATTTTTTCCATTTATTTTTTTAGAGAGAGCAGAAGGGCAGGGTAGAGACAGAGAGAAACATGGATGTGAGAGAAGTATATCCATTGGTTACCTCCCACACATATTCCAACCAGGGTCGGGGGATCAAGCCTTCAGCCAAGGTATGTGCCCTTGACTAGAATGGAACCAGTGACCCATCATTCCGCAGGCCGATTCTCTAACCTCTAAGAAAAACCAGCTAGGGTTTCTTAGAGTGATTGTTACCTTTGAGGATTGTATAGGTGGGACTGATTTCATATAAATTTTCTTCCATAACAGGTAGTGTGAAGGCTCCATCCCACATCTTGATTTAGGAATAGACATTAACGAGTGCCTATGCATAACCCTGTAATGTACAATCCCTTCATCTGTATATATCCTATGTGTGTGTTTGAATTGCAGTTTGAATGATATTGTTGCAGTGGGACCTGAGCACTTTTATGCCACAAACGATCACTATTTTGTCGACCCCTACTTGAGATCCTTAGAGGTCAACTTGGGTTTATCATGGTCATATGTGGTTTACTATAGTCCAAATGAAGTTAAAGTGGTGGCGGATGGATTTGATTTTGCTAATGGAATCAACATTTCACCTGATGGCAAGTACGGAATCTTTTAAAAAATGTCATGCATTTCTCCATAGTCTCATTAGGTATCTTTTGAACATATTCCTTTTCTAAATTATGTGATAATAACATTTTAGCATGTTATCTTAGTAAGAGGAAGTTAAGAAAAATGTAAAATAGCAAATTTTCAGGAGGTAAAATTTATCAAATCAAAATTTCCTATTTTTGAAGACACATTTAAAAATTTTTATAGGGGAAGTACATTTCAAAGGGGTGAATAAACATTTAGTATTAGTAAATATTACTGTGATTATTGTTTAGTATTGCTAAACAATACTGCAATATTTAGAACTACTAAATAATACTGTGATAATCATTTAGTATTACTAAATAGCTTTGCTTTGAGGGAAGACTTTTTAGTATATAATGAGATTAACAGTATGTAGTTATATGTTTATTTATTCCAGTAGTGCCGGTTTCTGAGAAGATAAAGAGCTTGCACCAAAATGTAAATCAAGGTACTGCTTACTTCATCAAAAAAGTGTTATTATGGGGAAGAAAAAGTCAACTCAGCAGTGTGCTTAGTGATGTAGCTGATTTATATTATTAGCTGGTGGTGGCCCAGAAACAATTCACAGACCAGCATTAATCTGGTTACCTCACTTTGGGTAGCACTGATGTATATACAGTATATCTTATATAATAAAAGCCTACTATGCAAATTGTCCCCTGGAGAGTTCAACCACCTGGGAGTTCGACCGCTCACTATGACATGTGCTGACCATTTGGGGGCGGCGTAGAATAAAGGAAGGCCCCGGCCAACAGCTGGAAGGAAGGCCCTGGCTGGCCGTCAGAAGGCCCTAATCGACCCCAATCTCCGGCCAGGCCTAGGTACCCTACCTGTGCATAAATTTCATGCACTGGGTCTTCATCCATCTATTCCCTTCCTCATCTTTTATCATTACAAATTTCAGAGGAATCACAAGAGAGACAAACATAGATATGTAAGAGAAACATCAATCAGTGGCCTCCTGTACACACCCTTACTGAGCTGGGAATTGAACTCACAACCTAGGCATGTACCCAGGCTGGGAATTGAACCCACAACCTTTCAGTGTATGGGATGATGCTCCAACCCACTGAGCAACATTGGCCATACAGGGCAGTGACATATTTAGAGAAAACAACATGAACAGCTTTGCAATTATTCATATTATCTCCTGGTCTCCAAAAATAGCAGATAATCAAGCAGTCGTTTCTTATTTTGTTCTGAGGTCACTGTGCTTAGACTAACCACAGGTCTATTTCAATATATGATGAATGTGACATTGCACTGTGTGCAAAATACTAAACCCACGGGGTCCAACCAGACTCAGGATAGGAGGGGAGGAAGACTTCTCTCAGATCCAGGACAAGCAGCATCTTGTCTTCTCTCATACTTTCTGTCACTGGCCTAAAACCAGGAGCTATTTGTCAAAGGGCCTTCCTACAGTCTGTTGGAGAGAACCCACTACCCTCTGACATGCAGAAGCTGAGGTTCACCCCTATGCTGACAAACTAAGAGGAGCACTGCAATGCTTTATCTTCCAGATGTCAGAGCTGGTGTGTAGGGCTAAGTTCCTTCCCTACTGAAGGGGGTCAACTAGGTTTCCACCCTTAGAAATAACTATAGGATTAAAACTCCTGTGTGCTCTATAAACTGTGTTTTCAGAATTTGACGAGCTTTGAGAGGGGTTCCATGTTCCAATCTCTAAGCCAAGATCTTCTCGAGGAAGAGTTACCACAACTTCACTGTCATCTTTTGGATTGCATCACTTCTAGTGCTTTGATGTTGCTCTTTCTTCTTTGAAGGTATGTCTATATATCTGAACTTCTGGCTCATAAGATCCATGTGTATGAAAAGCATGCTAATTGGACTTTAACTTCATTGAAGGTAAGATATATTAACACTCTACGTTTTCAGAGTGATAATTAGATTCTAATTGATTTGTGAAATTAAGTGAGGAAAAAAGGATTGTCTAATTGGAGGGTATGAGAACCAATTTTTTACTCCTTTATTAAGAGCCATCAGCATCTTATGTGTTTGTTGTTCACTTTTACTTGGCAGTGGAGCTGGAAGAAGCCAACCACACATCTCACCTATGAAACTTTGATTCCTCCCCCCCTACTCTAATGAATTTTAAGCTTGTCATTGTCTTCCTAGTCCTATCTTATCTCCCTTCCTTCCTTCCTTCCTTCCTTCCTTCCTTCCTTCCTTCCTTCCTTCCTTCCTTTTTTTCTTTCTCTTTTTTTTCTCTTTCCCTCCTTTTTTTCTCTCTCTCCCTCTCCCTCCTCTTCTCTCCTTTCTTTCTTCCTCTGCCCTTCCTTTTTTTCCTTTCTATGTTGATGGAATAGTGAAGTCGTTAAGACTTCTCTCAGATCTAGGACAAGCATCATGTCTTCTCTCTTACTTTCTCTGGCCTAAAACAAGGAGCTGATTGTCAAAGGGCCTTCCTGTAGCCTGTAAGAGAGAACCCACTATCCCCTGACACACAGGAGCTTGGTAGCCCCTATGTTGACAAACTAAGAGAAGCACTGCAATTAAACTTGGTGTTTAATATGACAGAGATCTCCACAAAATGTATAAAGCCCAAGTCCTAGCAATGGCTGCCTGGTGCCCCAGTGGCCCATCACCTTGCTGCCTTTGTTGCCAAAACCTTTGTTCCTCTGCTCCTGCCTCAGATTCATGGAGCTTGCCTGGCAGGGCCCTGCCTCAGGATGGGGCTCTGTTCCCTCTGCTGGTGGGATCTTCCTCCAGACCTCCCTGATTCTCTCCTTCATAGCATTTTAGATTTTATCAGAATGTCACTCAGTGAGGCCCCAGCTGTCTAATGTACACTTGCAACTTTGCTCCCTCTTCTCTCTCTCTCTCTCTCTCTCTCTCTCTCTCTCTCTCTCTCTCTCTCTCTCTCTCTCTCTCTCTCTCCCTTTCTCCCATATGACTTTATTTTCCCTCTAGCATTAGTAATGAATTTTATCTATCTATTAGCTGCCTCTCCCCCATAATATAAGCTCCACAAGGACAGACTCTCCCCCTCTCCCCCTCATTTGCCTCTGGAAGAGTTCCCAGCACCTACTAGGCATTCAACAAACACTTGTTAAATGACTATGATGGTACTGGGTGTTTCAGGGGTCCATCTTCTACCCCCACCAATTATGATCCATTTTGAAGATTTGGGTCAAAACAAGTAAAAACAGGAGAGGAAAGTGAAAGTAAGAGCAAAGTAGAACATCATACAGGTAATCCCTGCCCCTGAAAAACAAGACGTCTCTCTCCTGCCATAACCGCCCACGGCAAGAAGCGCTGTCACCAGGCGCTGTGACTCTTCCCATCAGCACATCCGAGGAACTGTCAAGAGAGGCTTCACTTGGAGAAAATTACCTTGAAGCACCATCAAATGTAACATTATGTCTGACATTTAAAATCATTGGCCAGGCTAGTTTGGTATTAGCTGAAGTAAAATGGAATTGCACACACTCATACTGGTTGAGGGAATAAGAACTAACTGTGGTTACAGCAATATCTACCGCTGTCAACTGGAAGTTGAAGAATTTCCTAAGAATAGAACCAAATCCAATATACATTCAATGCACAATGACAAAGCCATGGCTCCTGCCAAGGCAAGGTGGAGCACAGTTTCAGGTTTGGCTTCCACATTTGACAACAGATCATGCCTGTTTCCTGACACAACTCAGTTAAAGTTATCCTTGCAACTGAACTGTTATTCTTCTTTTGGAAGGTTCACATTATTTAAACCAGTTCATTAATACCTGGAGTGCCAATAAATTTGTTAAGATAGCTGAGACTAATCTTAGAATTTTCAATGAGATGTGGATGGGTTTATGTCCTGCCAAAGTTTGGCACATTCATACGTGAAATATTATTCAGTCTTAAATAGGACTGAAGTACTAAGGCATGCTACAAGATGGATGAGCCTTGAAGATATTATGCCAAGTGAAATAAGCTAGACACAAAAGAAAAAAATAGTGCAGGATCCCACTTGTAGGAGGTACCCAGATTCAGCAAATTCACAGACAGAAAGTAGATTCAAGGTTACCAAAGGCTGGGAGAGGGAGGAATGGGGAGCTATTGGGCACAACTTTTGTTTCAGATGATGCAAGTTTTGGGAAATGGATAGTGGTGATGGTTGTACGACATTGTGAATGTATTTCATGCAACTGCATTAAATGACAAATTTCACATTACGCATATTTGACGACAATAGAAATACCCCCCCAAAAAACAAAACAAAACAAAACCAAAAAACAACAAAAGAACAAGACAGCCAGTGAATTAGTCCCACTTCAATGGTTTACAATTCTCTAAAAATTGGGATATTTGTTGACAAAGGATAAAATTCCCTGAGACAATAGTTTATTAAGTTCCCTTGACCCAGGCATGTAACATTTTCCAGTTGGCATTGGAAAGGCATGGAAAGTAGCATGTGCGTGCATTGCGGTGCATCAGTATTTCTAGAATCACAGTTTGCATGGCAGGAGCCCAGCACAGGCTCCCCACCGGCCCCTCCGCGTTCCCTCATCAGGAACCAGGTCTGCTGCTTACTCCATCTCTCCTCGCAGAGCACATGGCCGGAGCTCGGGAGTTGTGTGTTGAATGAATGGGACTCCAGGCTTCTGAGTGCCCTTCTCCCACTCTCACCCCGGCTCCCAATTCTACAGGCTTTTATCTGCCATGGAATTCACCAATTAACTATTACCCCTTCCAAAGGTAATTGCAGAGTCCTGAAACAAACATTTCCCTGAAAGTAACTGATCAGAGTAGCCCGGCTCTGTGATAAAGGGGCTTGGTCTGCGGAGAAGGCCCGTGGCTGATTTTGACAGAGCATGCTCACTCAGCCACCTCCTTTGGCCAGCCTTGCCTGTGTCCAGGGTTTGAATAAGTGACGGTTTTGCACAAGGGTGAAAAGGAGACTCTGCTGAGATGCTCGAGCCCTCTAGTTCCTTCAGGGATGTGTCGGGGTGGCTCTCATTTTGAGCATGAAGCACAGGCCCGCATTGGCTCCCTGCAGCTGCCTGCCCACGCTCTGGCCTCTGCAATGTGTTACTGCCCCTTATTACAGGGTCTCCAGGTGCTGAGGTATGCTGGTCTCTGTTGGAGGTACACGGTGGATATTGCTTCTCCAGCTGAGCGTGAGAGGCAAACAAATAGATGTGGTTTCTTCCCGGTAGAAGGCAGCCAAGATGATGAATGGAGGAATTAAGAATCGTTGGTATTATTTATGATCCCGGTGCAAAGCCTCGACAGCAATCTGTGCAGTCATCACATGCTTGCAACTTATATTTAGAAAATAAACAGCAGAAGAGCCGGGAGTTGGATAATATCAGGAGACTAAAGAAGAAACTTCTTCCCAACTCCAACGCGAAAATTAGACCCGGAGTGATCATTTGTCCTCTGGCTGCACAGCCTAGGATGAGCCATTAAAGAAGAGCCTACATTTCATTGACGTTCCCATCAGAGAGGAACCTGCCTTTCCCGGTTGTTTTCTCAATGGTGATCAAAAATAGCATTTGTACATGCCATTTTAGAAATGAACTGTTCTGTGCTTCACTTAAAACATTTTTTCCCCTTTCACTTTCATTTGCAGATGTTAAGTTCACTGATTTTTATTGAATTTTTCATAGCCTTTGTTGGCTTTCTTTTTCTTTTTTAATATGTTTTATTGATTTTTTTTTACAGAAAGGAAGGCAGAGGGATAGAGAGTTAGAAACATCGATGAGAAACATCCATCAGCTGCCTCCTGCACACTCCCCACTGGGGATGTGCCTGCAACTAAGGTACATGCCCTTGATCGGAATCAAACCTGGGACCCTTGAGTCTGCGAGCCAACGTTCTATCCACTGAGCCAAACTGGTTAGGGCTGTTGTCTTTCTGTATGTCCCGCTCCCTCATCTGTCCTGGAAGCTGATGGGATTCCCTGGGCGCTAATGAAAGGGCAGAACTGCTGTGTCCCTGGAACCAACACCGTGGTGACCGAGAACAAGACAGTAGCTTTCCCTGACATATTGCTCAATCATCTCTCAAATTTTTTTTTCTTCCTCATTTGCTGTCTTTTGTTCTCTCCTTGTTTTTAATCCGGAAGTCCCTGGCCTTTGACACACTCGTGGATAACATATCCGTGGACCCTGTGACAGGGGACCTTTGGGTTGGGTGCCACCCCAATGGCATGAGAATCTTCTTCTACAACCCGGAGCGCATTCCTGGATCAGAGGTTAGTTGGAAAAGTGACTCAGATCAGCAACCTTATTCCCAGATGTTTTCTAGTTGAAAACATAATTCTCAATTTTATGGGCAAACAAAAGGGGGTGGGGACACGGATGACTGGTCCAAATGATCAGCTAGAAAAAAGGACTTTGACTTGGGGAGGCATTTTAGGCAGAGTCCACGCAGGGGACAGATGGTGCATTAAACTGGGTAATTTGAGGGAATTATGCAAGGACACTATGTAAATAGTTGTGGGCAGAGTGTAGGGAAATCAGCAGGGGATAATGCAGAAGCCCAGGGCTAGCAGGGAGCAGGGAATGCTGACAGAAGCCAGACATGAAGAGAGCTCCATGTGAAGGTCTTCTGAGCAGAACCTGGCTTGGGTTGAGGGATGCAGCCAACCAGCACAGGGAGGAAGGAAGCCTGGAGAACAGGTGCCTTGCCTCAGCCGCAGGACACCCATCCCCTAAGGCCCTTGGTCAATCTTGACTAGGAGTTGGAGGGCGAGAGATCCCTCTAAGTCAGTCTTGGTACATCTGAACAGAGTGGAGAGTGGAGTGTGGACCCAGGGCCTGAGTTAGGATCCATATCTTCATTTTAATAGTTTCTCCAACTTGAGAATTCACAGTTGTTTAAAAATATCTATCTATCTATCTATCTATGTGTGTGTGTGTGTGTGTATATATATATATATATATATATATATATATATATATATATATATATATATATATATATATATATAAAATACATCACATTGCCATGGTCTTAGCATTTGTTAACCTGCCTTCCTATTCAACTCCCCCTTTGGTATGTGCCAAAGTTAACACCAGGGACCAGTCCTAAAACACAAATGGGCAATGTATACCTCCCCTGCCACTGGGAATGTGTATTACTAGCTAGAATTATTTTGGATTAAAATACTTTCCTTCCACCTCAGTTTGACTCCCCCGAGGCCCTATTTGTGTCCATGGTCTTTAATCAGTGAACTATTTTGTTGTGTAAAACATGAAACTCATTTGGCCACAGGCATTTTCATGTTCACTATGACTTAACTAGGGTTTGCTGGTGTGCGTTTTCAGTATGTACTAATTATACTTGCTATTCACATTAACTATAGGGTATTATTTTTTAATTGGTCTACTGCTCTGTATTCTTTTTAAACCTACCCCACCAGGAAAAAAAAATATTTTATAGCCTGTGTCTTGGATTAAACACACACACACACACACACACACGTACTTCCAATTACATGATGGCCCTTCATACCTTTTAATTTTTAGTTTTACAGGATAATTGTGATTGTGTTCAAATGCAATCCCTTGTACCTTTTGCTCATTCTTAAGTAGGAGGATGCCCTATAGTATGTTTAATAGACTTGAAGAAATGTAAGCTGTGGTGTGGTCACTGGAACTCAGCATGTCAGATTCTAATTTGTTCTTGCTTGTTGGCTCATTTGGTGAACTTGGGTCATTTGCTATAGCATGGACTTGGTTTGCTGTTCTGAAAAAAATACCTCCTTTCTAGTGATGATCTGTTCAAGCACAGATAGCAAAAAGTAATAATAGTCCATTATCTAATACACTGCATATGGGAGAGTATTTTGTATAATATTATAATAATTTGGTTTTATTAAAAGAGGTTTAATTATTTAAGTCAAGGTGCTCCATAAACTATTTATCAGTAACTACTACACTTCAACACTATGGCAATTTTCTAAAACAACTGTTTTTGGTGCCAGTTGTTTTAAAGAGGTCCTTTTCTCTCCAGACATGGGTTCCTGGTCTGCTATATTTGGTGTTTCTACATGTAGGTATCCTTTCTTTAGGTCATTGTATTTTACCCTAGAAAGTTAGAGTTGAAAGGGAACTTAACCTAATCCCACCCATCTCATTCTACTGATGAGAAACCAATGGCGACTGGAATATCCAAAGCATAACCCTAGGCTCCACACTCACCGTGTGCTCTTTATAGGAGGGTGGATAGTGTGAAATTGCCATTTATCAGCCAAAATGGTCAAATAATGGCCATTTAGCAGTCTAACATGCTACTGCATCATTGCTAATGATACCATCATATTTCTGCTTAACTAAATGAAAGAAACAGTACTTACAAAATCTTATATTTGAAACCTTAAATTTAGAGGAATGGATAAGTGTGACCCAGAGATATGTTCTTTTTGGGCAGTATTTTTTATTTTTTATTGCCAGCGTTTAAAAACCAAGAATTAAGTGTAAACATCCAGTTCCCTAGTTTATCTGAAAATACACAAAAAACTACCCTGAATGCCAGCATGGCAATAATTTTACTATTATGAACAGCCCCTCCCCACAATTTACCAGTCACTGCTGCTCCCTAAGCCTTCACATCCAAGCTGGGCAACTCATTTACATTTCTTGCCTCACCTCTGTAGGTAGGCCTCTGTCGCTATCTCTGTGTAAGATCAGTACCTATTATTGTGCCAATAAGGAAACAGGTGTCTTATATAGAGAGTAGTTTTGGAACAAAATAGGGTTTACCTAAAGGCTTCTTCTAGAGAAATGACCCATATGTAGTTACATTTTAAGTGACTTTTAAACAAAATTAACCAATTGTTATTTCTTTGATAGGTGATCCAAATCCAGAACATTTTATCAGAAGAACCCAAAGTCACAGTGGTTTATGCAGAAAATGGGACCGTGTTGCAAGCAAGTTCAGTGGCCTCTGTGTACCAGGGGAAACTGCTGATTGGGTCGGTGTACCACAAAGCTCTCTACTGCAAGCTCTAACAGGCCCATCTGCACCCACGCCGTGGGAACTGTGAGCCCGCCATTTCAACAGCTTGCCAGCCCAGAGAGACCACAGTGATCTCATTAATTTAGGGAACGTTGACCCTAAATTAGGCCATGGTTCGGGATGAAGTTGCTGTTTAACTGAGAACAGATATGATGGATCAGGTTTTTTTGAAGGTACAAAATCAAATTGGTCTTGGCATATTTGTTTACCAATAAAAATCCTTTACAATAAAATGGCTAACATAGTCATGTAACAGTATGTGACCCAAAAGATACTTTCCCCAAGACATATGTTTTCTGAGTGCACATGACTTACTGCTGCCTTGCTGATTCTTGTTCAGAAAACAGGAGAGCAGGCTGGCTTTATGGGTCATCAGAAATCCAGAGGCCACCCAGGGATTCCAGTTCACATGCCAGAAACTGGATGTGCACGAAAAATGACTCTTCAACCCCAGGCCCTTCTCCTTCAGCAAAGCCATTAGACATATTGCACATCAGGATTACATTTTCCTCTTTACGTATGACTTTACTTTCTTGGTAAATACAAACTCAAATACCCCAACTTTCCTTCTACTTTTGCTTACCCAATTCTCCTCTAGCAAAAGGCATGCGGGGAAATCTTAAATCCTTGGGAGTGTCTGTTAACTCAGCACACATTGTACATTTTAGTTCCTTCCACCTGGTAAAAAGAAGTTTGTTCACATCAGTGATTGGATTTAGAATGAAACCCTACCTAATTCAGGTAAAGCTCAGTGTCTCCCCCCCACCCCCCCCAAGACAATGCTGCTGTTAAGGTGGTGGTGGTTCTTTTTCGACTCTAATTTGCCACAGAGGTTAAGAAGAAGTCAATAGAAAAGGAAACAAAAGAAGAAGAAACAATCAACAACCTCTGGCTATCTTCTGAGGGAGATGACTCAGAAAAAAAATTATTATTTTTTTTTTATGAAAGCCGAGGAAAAGGTTACCTGTTCTCCTTTATTTGTCTGTTCTAAGGTATGTGCTTCCAGGATGAATTGTTGCTTTGCGAACTTAAGGCAGTCAGGTTAGAAAGTTTCTCTAGGGCATTTGCCGTGATGATGGCCTGGTATTTGGAGAGAGATGTTTTGTTGATAAATTGAAAACTGCTCCAGGTTTAAGGCCATTGACTTAAAGTAATAAACAGGGACATTTTGTTTGGATCGAAAACACTTCTCTCACCTCAGGATAAAAGTTATTTTTAGTCAATTTCCGTGGGCATGACGCCATGTGCCCTATATGAGAGAGAGCTGGTTTGTGATGCTGTTCACAGCCCTCGAGGGTGAGTCTCTGAACTATTGTTTGGAAATGATCAATAGCTGTGGTGCTTAGGTTGAAAACAGCTACATATTTCCTTTATTTATTTTTAAAAGAAATAATTTTATTGATTCCAAAGAAGGTTGGAGAGGGAGATATAGAAACATCAATAATGAGAATCATTGATTGGCTGCCTCCTGCACGCCCCCTACTGGGGATCAAGCACTCAACCTGGACATGTTTCCCGACCAGGAATCAAACTGACCTCCTGGTTCACAGGTCTACCCTCAGCCACTGACGCATGCCAGCTGGGCAACCACATATTTTCTTTAAAGAGAATCACTTGATATCAATAAAATGACCATAGTCTGTTCTCTCGTTTTTAACAAAACAAGCAAATTCTGTCCCCTGGCCACTCCCCTCTCCCAAGAGAAAGCGATCCAATTTAACAGCTTCCATGAAAGATCATTCAGAAAGGGACACAAGCTTTCCCTTGGTTTGGAATTGAACATGCTCCAGGGTGAACAGTTGAATTCATGTATTCTGGTGCTTTCCTCTACATTTTTTGCACTGCCAAAGGTTTAGTCACAGATAAATTAGGGAGTGCACGTATGTGTGAAAGAGAGAAATACCCTTCATTTGATATATTCGACTTTTCACCATTTAAAGCTTTGGAAGTAAAATTCTTGAGAAAAGCCCCATACTATGGGATGGTCTGATTCTTAGCTCCCCACACCATGCTGTGTGACTGCGTGAGGCCAACTGCTTACGGATTTGTCACCGACCTTTTCCTGGCTGGCAAGTATCAGAAACGGTGATGGTGAAGCCACAATGGGAACCAGGAGATGGGCGAGGGAAGTTCTAGTGGAAGCTGAGATCTTTAACTTTATGCCCAGTTCCATAACTGTGCTTTCAACATAATTCCTGCTGCCCATTTACACTTCAGCAGGGCCTAAATGTATTTTCAGCTTCATTTCCATGGAAATGTGCACTTTGCTCTTGATTGATAGATGCATTTTGACAGTTAATTCAGGTTTACCCAGTCAAGGTGAAAATGGGAAAGGAAAAAACAATGACGTCAACAGATCTCAGTATTACTCTTTTTATTGCATTCGTTGTCTAACAACAATAATACTCATTGGCAAGAAACTTATTTACACTAACAAATTAAACTTAATCACACGTATTTTTAGATTGGTCAGAAAACAAGGAATATCTTGCTTCAAATGCCTCTGAAAATCAAAGAGTAAGAAATGCCATTTGAAATGGAACAATCTAGAGAAATACATATTAACCAAGCACAGAGAACAATTCGGACGTGGCACTATTGTCTCTTCCATGCAAATGATTGGACACCGAAAGGTACAAATCAAGATTCAGATAACATGCTATCCATATTTATTGGACTTAAAATGACTTTCAAACAACTTTTTACCCCCCTTTAAAGAAAGATGAAAACAAACCAATTTCTTACAATGGTACTTAAATCATTCTCTCTCTTTTTTCATTTTTTCAGCCGGCCAGTTTGTTAGTCATATGCAGCATGTATACTTGTGGTTCCATTGTAACACCATTAAAAAATACAAAAGCAGTAGTGATGACCATAAATAATATTAAGGAAAACATACACATAAATATTTAAGAGATTTCACTAAGCACTAATGAAGTCTGATGCTGTTGGGAGGTGTTTTCTAGCCGGAGTGCTTCTTAATTCCCACTTTTTAATTTAACTATCTTTGGCGAATTGTTCTTTCACAGATGAAAGATGAAATCCTTAACAGAGAACCTGGGTTGTCTAAAAAACAGCCAGAGAACTAGAAGTATACACCTTCCAACAACACGCTCACACTCATGTTCATTTGGCAATGACCTAACCAGGCTACCACTCAGCAGAAGAGGAAATAAATGGTCACGGAATGACAATGCTGCCATCAGAGAGCCAGGAGTTAGTGGCTTATATATCACAGCTACCAAAAGTGTCATATTAGAGCATGAGCAAATGCACAAGAACACGCAGTGCAATTTTTAGCAAAGGACACTGCGGTCTGCAGTTGAAAATGCCTGAAGTGGCAGAAACTTCTGAGTTGCAACTCAGCGATGTGCAATCTCGACATCAAAGCATTAATCAAACATTTGAGGAAAAGTTTAGCTTACTAAAATACCAAGTTTCTAATAAACCAATTTTACCAAAATATATAGACATATAGGATTAAGTGCATTTAGTAGAAGAAATACATTAAAATAATCTCTTAAAATCTTATGAGCCATTCAATGTATACACAACACAAAAAGTGGCAATAAGGCTATGATTACTGCTGGGGTTCTAACTGACAACACTAAGTTCCAAAGACAGCATCTATTTTAATGCCACGTCATTGCGGGATGTGTGCGCGAGATGAGAGAGATATTCACACATATGTAGTCTGAATAGCTACACAAGTGGCATGCACAATATTGAGAAGTTGCCTCTTGTTCCCTTATCCCTTGCCTCTTACTCAGTCTTCAATCTTAAGCGCTAAAGGTTGGGGTAGGGCCAAGGATGGGAAAGCATCCTGTTTCTTGACTTCCCCACTCTGTAGATTTGGAAGTGAGTCACGTGCTGTACTTGGTCCACACACTTATGTATGTGAGCCTTCAAGTAAGAATCGTTCCCTCAACACGTCATGTAAGGATCCTCTGTTCACCACTGGTGAGAAGGCCAGGCTTCATTTCCCAGGGGGACATGGATCCTGTAGGCTTCTTCTTTGCCTTCAGGCTTCTTGGTTGGGTCTGTTCTACACTGCTACTTTGTTATGCAAATACTACTGGTGTAGTCCTGGTGTTATTCTCCCTCCTACACCCCCCCCCCCCCCCCCCCCGCAGTGTTATGGATCAAGATTCAGTTTCCTGAGACTTTAAATAACTAAGGAAAACATAAATAAAATCTGCCTGCAGACTAGGACTGTTTTTCAGGAGTCAATTGCAGCAACCACATTCATATTTCTTACAACCCTGTTTTCTTTTAGAAATTTACTTCCCACCCCATCATCATCATGAAAACAATTGTAGTAGAAAATATGGACATTTCATTTCCCTCATCCTTCAAGGCTTCAAGGTTTCAGAAGAGTTTACAGGCAGATCCTTGATCAAATCTGAAAATTCAGAAGCCACTCAGGACTTAAGGAGGTGACATGAACCCCGGTGCTGCTGTCTCTCTCGGGATGCTGCATTCAGTTACTCAGATGGAATTTGGTAATTCTTAAATATCTCAGTGTAATGAGGGGGCTACCACACATTCAAAGTGTAGTTACTTCTTTAAAAATCGTTAAGACACCTCTCTTAAGAATCTCCTTAAATCCCACTGTTAAACACATGGTTTTCTCTCTTTAGGCCTGTCTACATAAACTTTGAACACTTTTTTAAACGAATTAGAATATCCATATAAATGCAAAATTTACCTTTTAAAATGTATTTCAAAGCGCATGCTAATTCAATGACACAAAGAACCTAGATGAGAATTATTTGTCTTGAGCAAAAACCATAGGGCCATTTAAAGTCAAACAATCTGTGATTATATTTGTAACCCGGCCTTGGACATCTTAAGATTTCAGAGTAGAGATGACTGCAGAATAACAGGCAGTGGCGAGGGTTAATTTGGGTCCTCACTTCCTCTTGCCACTTGGTTTCCAAGGATAACAGGAGCACCAGGCAGGTGTTCCCATTGCCTCCCTCTTAAAAGCTGAGGTTGGCATTAGCGCTGGAGTTAAAGATGATGCTTATGTGATGTTGAGGGTGGGAAATTCATCAACTCACAGCTAAAGAAAGACAGCATAGTTAACTTCTGATTCAGGGAGAGAGGGAGGGAGAGAGAGAGAGAGAATATGAACGAGGATGAGAAAACCATTACATGAACTGGAGTTAGTTTAAGGGAGATGGACTTAAAGAAGGTAATTCTGTTACAAAACTGAAGTCCTTCAATGGAAAATCCTGACCTAGACACTCCTCACCACACACACCCTGTCCCCCAAAGCACTGCCTATATTCCCAAACACTTTTGGCTATTGCCAGAGTCATATAGAGCTGTCGTTTAGAGAATATACCAGATATTCTCTTTTTGTTCATTTTCTAATAAAGAAAAAAACCGCCAAGCTTTAAAGGTTCATGAAGCAACATTTCTGTGTTAAATTGCAAGGATACTAAAAACCACTAGCATTAGAGCAGGAATTGCATACGGCACTGGTACCTCACTTAGGCATCATGCACTAGAGTTGATAACAACAACAAAAAAACAAAACAAAACAAAAATAGTAGGAAAACAAAATGCTCCCAAGTCCTGAGGCCCTTCACTCTGTTTTCATGCCTTTTCACCAGTCAGTTACAGTTTATCCTTTGCTGGACAATCAAATCAAGTGCCTCTTATAATTTCAGCAGTTTTAAGTAGTAATGTTAAAAAATTAACAAAAATTCAGATGAAAATTACTATAATTTAAGTTAAAAATCAAAACAGTTATAACACAAATGAAATGATTTGAAGAAAAAGAATCTGATTAATAATATTATCAGCTGGTCATTAATCTAAACATTGGAAGTATACAAATAAACTGAAAACAAAGAACAATATTTGAAGACTAAGGAAATGCAATATAATAGATCATAAATTATGTGCAGAGACTGAGACTTACAGATATTTCCAGTATTTACATCCATTTTCAAATATTACCAAAGTGTAAACATAAGATAATCATCCTTCCATTTTCATTCTTAAAATGAATACAGTGAAATTTCCAGTGTGATCCAGATCACTTTTTTTTCAAAGATGGCAAACATGTATAATAGCAAGCACTAATATTACCACATTTTGACTAATTTAGTCTTTTAGTATCAGAAAGGATTTGCTGGAATTGATAGTTCAGTCATAGTGGTTCCTTGTTTCTCATGGTATTAATAAATAGCAAAGCACCACACATCTCAAAATATTAATAGAATATCCAGTATGGCGGCTTCATTATCATACCCCAAAATGAAGACAGACAGGGAAAATATACATAGTGACGGATAACTGTAAAACACAGCAAATGATCTATAGCTAGTGACAGAAGCACTGGAGCCCAACAGGCAATACTCTGTCACTAAAAGGGAGGCAGGCCTTCGGGAAAGAACTGAATTGTGTATTTCTAGTTTAGATTATTCCAGATTTCCCCATATGCAGTCAAGCAGAAAACAGAAACAAGCAAAACACAATGCTCAAAATCCGAGATAGAGCTATAAGGGCTGGAGCCCTTTACGTGATCTGTTACCTGTATAACCTCCAAAAGCCCCCCAAGCTTTGTGTATATACATCTCCAGCGCAAGATATGGACTGAGACTCTACGCAGAAAAGGAAGTAAAATACTTGTCCAAGAATGAGTCTGCTCTCAACTCTGGTTCTGGAACCCACCCCCTGGAAAGTGGGTGACCTCATTTTTAGGGGCCAGTGCAGCAAACAGAACCAGATGCATAAACATAAGAAGCAAAACAACAACATCAACAAAAAGATCCATTATTTGAAATTTCTCAAGATGAGTTCATTTCTCCTCCTTCTGCCTTAGTCCCTGGCATTTGAATTAGTTTGATGAAATGTTGAAATCTGTAATACTGGCTTTAAAATATGAGCTTCACCACTAGACTGTATTATGGGTACCATCTTAAACTTTAACATTAAATGAAGACCCCTAAAGAAAGGAAGAGAATGGCTCAGAAAAACCATTCAGAGCATCTCTAAACATAACGGACAGCTCACCCTTATAAGGACATTCTGTGTGCTCAGTAAAATTGCTTCTCTAGTTGCCTGTTACTTACATCTAAATGTTCTTAAACTGGTATTTCTATTGTTTTAAATGTACATTTGTTAAAATACTAGCCAAGTCCACTTGGGAAATCTTGAGTAGAAAATATGTGACGAGTTCCTGACTGTGTCATCATCGGGCTGCAGACTATCCAGAATGTTCCCCGGGAGAGGAAACCTGAAAATGTTGGTTTCCTTGAAAACCAATTTCCTGTTCAATTTGTTGGGGAAAAGGAATTTTGTTGTGTGTGTCAGTGCTGCGGACAAACTGAGACGCTGCAGCAGCAAAGGAAACAACAGATCCCAATATCCCCTGGCTGCATTAACGTCAGATTTTTCCTTTGTATGGCTAAGTCTGGAAGATAAATATTATCCCCAGAATCCCAAGGTAATGCCACATTCACATTCTTAAGGCTTTTGCTTCCTTCTGGAGTTAACCCCTACTAGAATTCTTTTCTCTCCTTCAGGTGCTCAGCAAGCAGAATAGTGTGCTCACCTACTGCTACGGGAGGTGATTCTGGGGCGGAGCACACACACGTTTCCACGGTGGGGTTGCTCACTGTGCAGACACAGAAACAAGGGGGACCTTTCTCCCACTTTGGAGAGGATCCTGCAGCCCAGATCTCATGGCAGGAGGGCGCTCTCAAGCCATGTAGGCATACACAAACACCCAGGGTCAGGACCCCATGCTGGAGGTCCATGGCACTCCATTTAACACCACCAGGGTGGGTCATGCTCTCACTGGGCACTGCCATGCTGGTTTTCCAAGCAAGACACACACCTACCCAACACAATACAAGCTGCTGGTAAGCCAGAGAAGCGGGAAACATAGCTGCTTTGCATCTTGCACAAATGAGCTCCTTGGTTTGTTAATAAACTAAAGGTGGCTTGGGATTATTTGAGTAGGTTAAATGAAGAGAATTCTATTATCACAGAAAATGCAGGTATTCAACACCGGGTTCCAGAATCTGCCTACAGCACTCAGTTTCCTCTTCATTCCCCTAGAGGAGAGAGGGGCAGGAAGAGGTGGGCCCTCTCTTGGAGCAACCCGCCTAGAAGAGGTGTGTTACTGCTCCCCAGCACCCTCTACTGCCATCTTTTCTGACTTCCTAGATTTCCTCTGCATCTGCTCTTGTTCCTTCCTCCTCAGCTTCTCTCTCTGCTTCTCCATTTTCTCTTGAGCCTTCCGAGCCTTCTCTAGAGACATCTTCATTTCCTTGAGCTTTTTTTTGACCATTGCTCGGTCCTGCGATGATGCCATTCCAAGAGCCTGGGAAGGAAATATAAGCAAACTGAATCTGAAAACCAATGACCTCTCTGCTTATGCTGAGGCTGATATCACAATATGTTCTAACTCAAAAATTAATTGAACCACAATTGTGGTGAAAACTAAAGAAGAGCTGATTACATTTGCCAAAAATTTACAAGCTTTATTTTTTTCTTTTGTTCTTTGAAATCCCTAGCACAGTATGCCCTGAACCTCGCTAAGTCATGCTTTCCATATTGGTAATTAAAGGGTGAATGAATGAAAAAAGGTCACAATTCTGCTTCTACAACCTGCAGGTTGTAGACATTTACAGGAAAAAGATAGGAGTGGGCCCCTGCTGCCCACAGGGGGTGCTCCCAGAAGTGCAGGAAGAATCAACATGGCTTCCTTTCTGCCAATGTACGCATTGACAGTGAGGACCCACAGTGTATTCAGCACCAGAATGCTCAAGGCAGCAGACTAGCCATGGGCTCCCTGTAGGCAGACCTAAAAGGAAGCCTGATTATAACGAGAAGGATGCTCAAATTAGCTTGGAATTCAGAATAAAGGGAGTTGGTTGCATAGTATATTAAATGCTTTATGACCTTCAGCATCAACAGCGGGATGCATCCATCTCCCCAAGGGGACAACCTTGTCAATGGACCTTCATATTTACAAGCTATTCATTGATCTCTACCCTTTTCAAGATTGTCACGCAATACTCATCTGCCTGTCCTCCCAGCAGGGGCTGAGGTCAGGGGTGGAAAGCCGGCTGTAAGCTCCTTTCGCCCTTTCTCAGCAGGGATGGGTGCCACCTCAGCTTCTAAAGAGATGGACTGGACAGGTGGACATGAGAGAGCGATGGAGGGGGAGGGGAGACACTGCCGCACGTATTTGGGGAAGAAAGTTCTGGGGAAAACATCATCCCGGTTTTGGAGCAGTCCCTGGTGTGCAGGGACGAGTCAGGATGGAGAGGAGACACGAAGAAGGGGAAGGTTAATGGATTTGGGTTTTAACTCTTACGTGATGAAAGAGCCCACATTGGCCATTATTAAAACTCATACTACATAGAAGTAAGTAGAGTTAATACATGGGCCATGTGTTGCTAGGCGGAAGCAATGGAGTCCCTCCCTCTCCTACTCAGCAGCCTACTAGTTAGATCCCCTAATGACTTTCTGAAACTTTGTTTACTATTCAAACAATCCACCGTCCTTTCTGCTGACGGTTGATAAGAATTACCTCTCCCATAGGGAGAATGCTCTCATTTAATGAAAACATTTTAGGTGCTATGAGCAATACAAATTATGCTTGGTAACCTAACACAGACAGATATAATTCTTTACCTTCAGTTTATTTCCATCCAACTGCAGGAGTTGCTCTCCAGTGATGTTTTGGGCACTGAATTCAGATACATACTGCTCCAGATTTAGGCTCATGAGCCAGTGAGAAACCTGCTGCACACTCCACTCCTGAACGGCCCGATTCTGACACTGACTGTGCTTGGGAGACTGTCCGTCATCAAGGATCTGAGTAGGAATGTCATGCAGTGTTGTTAAAGGGCTGAAGTACTGTGGCTCAGCATGGCATATTGCGCTATCTATCCAAGGGAATGTCTTGCCTACTAGAGCCATCTTTATTTCTAAACCATAGAATGATAAGCTAATGGGTCTTGCTGTGTATGTAATGCACACACACATTTACTACCTACATGTTTTTAGATGCTTGGAAATCTAAAAACTCCCCTAAATAAAACAGCATTTTCAATGCAGTAAGTTTAATATTGACAAATCCACTCTAATGTTGCAAGCTTTTACATGAAAACACTTTGGAAGGATTATCAGATGCAGAAAACAAATATATCATTAATCCCTATAGACAATCCATCCCTCTGCATTTCTCCTCTGCTAGGACAGTAGAGATACGTAAAAACACATTTAAAAGTACTGTGGCATCTTTCACTTAGAAGAGGAGAGCATTGAGCCCTCAGGTATTTTTAGGGGGAAATTTCACAGCCATTATTTCATTTGCACGGCAAGCAAATCCGTGAGGGCAGTGGGGCAGGAGGAATCCATAATTACTTTTAGTAAACGAGGAAACTGAGGCTCTGAACACCCACAGATCTGCCCAGTGCAGACTATTTATTACTTTTAACAGTGCAAAGGGCAGGCTGGTTCCTGGAACCACTACGCTGAGAGGCGATGAGGCGATGATGGGTCTGGGAGGAGAGACAGAAGCCACCTCAGTGACGGGCGGAGGACAGAAGAGGGGATGATGGGTAAGCCGAGATGAAGGCAAAGGAGGCGAAACAGAGGGAGCTGGGTCAATCAGGTAATGGTGATGGGGACACATCATGGGACTCTGGAGGTGGGATCTGGAGGTCCTCTTGACTCAGGAATATCTTTTAAACTGAGACACAGACCAGGGCAGAGTGAAACTACATAACACAAGGAACACCCCACCCCCACTGCAGAGAAAAGCACTCTTGTTTTGTTTGAGTTTTCAATCATCTGCAAAGAGAGAAAAGGTTCAAACAAAATAACAAAAACCACCGTACAGCCCATTGAAAGCTCACCTCGTCATCTATCATATCCAGGCTCTGAGCGAGGGAGCAACAAAGGAATCAAAGAGAAACATGTTATACAAACAGGACACACAATATATACAGTACAAAGTCTTAGAAAATTAAAGTCATGTCGAGCCTGAAGAATATGGGCAAAAGAGTTTAAGAGAGAAAAAATGTTTTACAAAACAAAACAACATGTTAGAAAGAAATAACTAAGAACACATATTTAGAGCAAAACTATCTTTTACTTATAATGCCTCCCTCCCACCCTCCCTTTCACCCCAATAAGACATTAGAGATATGTAAAAGAACATTTAAAAGTATTGTGGCATATTTCTGGTATTTCTTTCTTCACCTTATCCCTTGGGGTACTAAGTCCATCACTAGTGTAATTTCCTGCCTCTCTTGTATGTATTTATCTCAGGAGCATTCCTAAGAATGCTCAGGAGATAAATATATACTTTGACCCCCGCATCTAAATCAGTGGTCTTATAAATATATACTTTGACCCCCCTCATCTAAATCAGTGGTCTTACATAGTTGTCCTTCCTTCTCAGAATTGTATCTCTCCCCTTTTCACTGCAGTGAATCTTAATCATGGGCCACACCCAACTCAGAAGAAATATCAGATTCTTCGGGTGGGGGTGATGATGGGAAAGATGAGGGAGAAAAGCAAGGGCTAATTGGTGAATGCCGTGAGATTTCTGAGCTGTTCCCCACTTTTGCTCTCCAGTGCCCAGCCTCCCGTCCCCACACCATTGCTGAGAGGCATCGCACTGGAGTCAGAGAAAGGCCTAAGATATAGTATACAGTGAGGGATGGCTCTGAGGGTCTCCGAAACAACAGTTAGCTTTCATGTTGAGACAGAGAGGGAGACACCAATATCCTAGCAGAGATCATGGTTCCAGTGATCTACCATGCAAAGTCTACCTCAGACACATTGCCCTGTGACAGCTCACGGGTAGCACGTACGCCTGGGAGAGCAGTTCTGTGAGGGACATGAGCATACCTCATCTGACGACAGCGCCAGGGACTGAGAGAGCCCCGGGGTTCTGGGCTCCGCTCCCAGGCCGCTCAGGTCTGCCGAGCTGGTGCTACTGGGACTGAAGTCATCGTTGAAGGTAAAGTTCTGTAACAATAAATGAAGCTCAGTGTTAAAAGGGCAGCGAGAAGGAACCCAAGGTAGGTGTGTTTGCGAGCTCTAAGACGGTAACTTTGAAGTAATCTTAGAAGTTGACTTTGGGGCCGGTGATGACCTTCGGCCGGGCAGTGTCAGACACTGCGCCTGCGGTGAATGGGGAGCTCTGAGCGCTTCTCCGCCGGGGGGAGAGGATAGGTGTTTTGGAGTAATGACTCTGCAGTCTCTCTTCAAGGGTGCAGCATTCATTATCCTCTGCGACTGCTCAGAGGAGTGATATTAATGAGCCTATCTTCTTTGACCCTAATGGTGATGAGCCACAGTGTAAGTAAAAAAAATACAAGGTGGTGTGGAGAGCCTGAGTGATTAGGAACAGATGGCAATCCATATTAGAAAGGTAGCCGAGCACCCCGGAAGGTCCCCGCTAGCTGTGATAAATGCTGTGGGGGATGGCAGATCCTCTTCAGGATGTGACCTTCAAAGACCATGGGTTCTGGGGGAGGTCACAACCTCCCTGCTCAGGTACAGCTTTCACGTGGCAGCGCTACGTACAGACACACGTTCCCAAATAGTTACCTGGGGGTCGGAAGAAAACTTCCCCAGAACCTCATTAAAATGTTCAGTGGATATTAAAATCAAATACATTCATAATGACTTCAGAGCTGCCTTAGTGAAAACATTTTAAGCCACACCTGGAGTCTCTCCAGTGTAAGATAACAGTAGAACTATTTAAACAACACTGAGATATAGCAGACCCAATGCTGAAAATGCTTCAAGGCCAAAGTGGTCTATTGCTGTCAAAACTTCTTTTCTAGTTGCTTCTCAGGGATTCTTTTTAAAAAAAATATATTTTATTGATTTTTTACAGAGAGGAAGGGAGAGAGATAAAGAGCCAGAAACGTCGATGAGAGAGAAACATCGACCAGCTGCCTCTTGCACACCCCCCACTGGGGATGTGCCCGCAACCAATGTATAATACATGCCCTTGCCCGGAATCGAACCCGGGACCTTTCAGTCTGTAGACTGACACTCCACCACTGAGCCAAACTGGCTTTGGCTTCCCAGGGATTCTTAAGAACTTGGCCAAACCCCATCTGTTTCCTATCCCACTGCCTTAGAGATTGGACTGCCAGTTTTCCATTAGGTCCTCTCGTACCGGGTTAGCTGGCTGTCAGGAATAAATGCCATGCCAGAGGCCAGAGAGCTCAGTTACCAAACAGACTGCAGGGTTTGCTGGATGCTCAGATGAGACTGAATCAGAGCACGGAGCTGGGCTAGGAGAGCATTTAGGCAGAGGCATTCGACACAGAGCATTACCATTTGGCACAGTCAGTGGAAACACAACCCCCAAACCCATCAAAACCCTGTGAGCTGTTGACCACAAGAAAAGAATTAAATTCGAGTAACTTGAACCCCATGTGTCTGTTTGAGAAAGAAAAGTGAACACAGATAAAAGGAGACCACACAACATGTGAAAGTTAGCCACTGCATGTGTTTCAATAAAATTAGGTAAGGTTAGGTAAGGTTTGCAGTTTCATGCTGGAAATAACCATCATGCATTTAAAAACAAGTAGCATCCATGCACAGACTTCCTAATTCTGCTCAAGTTAAAGAACTTTCGTGACAGAATTACAACAGCTGTTCGACATGGAAGCTTGATTTAAGAGAAGAAATAAGGGTGCTATGTCAGCATTGGTTTGTTTTAGAGAGTTTCATTTAGATGTACTGAACACATATCCATGCCCAAATTTATCTGTTTTCCAGTAAATCTTGACGAGCGCAGCAAAAATAGTTTGGTAATGTAATTTAAACTGGAATGCTTGGTAAACAGATCTATCACACTGTGCCGTGATTCAAACTCATCTTTCCCAGCATGGTTTCACTGTCAAACAGAGATTAAATAGCAATATGTGAAAAAGACAGGCAAATCGAAGATTAACACACAATCTAGCAGAGACCAGTATTAAAGAAGGTGATGGTTAAAGGGCCTTTCGGTTCCCCACACAGGAAGTATCATGCACGGTTTATTGCAGTGTTATCACATTGGTTTCTTGGATCCAGAGCATACACACAGGTTGAGAATGCTTCCCAGAGATTGAAGAGGAGGAAGAGATTTGGAGTTTTCTCGTTTGCATTTCTAATCCAAGTGTTTTCTACCTTGGACCCCTTTTTATCTGAAATTAGAGTTTCAGGAGAAGGCTGGAGGGGACTTGGAGGTGAAGGCAGGTTCCTGAAGGAATAGGATCCTTTTCGGCTCTCTTGAAACCAGGAGAAAGGCATGCAAGGTGAGCGAGGGGCAGCCGGCGCTGCAGCAGAGGGCTTCGCTTTCCAGTGGTCCAGCCTGCCTCTGAAGATCCTGTTTCATGAAAAGAATTGGAGTGTTAGACAGAGAAAGGGAAGATGTGAAACTGACTGAACTGGACTCTGACGGGGCTCTGAACACAGTTTGAAGTAGCAATTTGAGAAGTTATCCTACACAACAGATACTCCTCCCTCCCCCCCCCCCCCATTTTTGACTGGAACATTTATTATTATTTTGTGTCTAAATGGACTCTGTAATGACAGACATTTTGTACTGCTATGTCCATGGGAAATGTGCCTAATACATACATGGACGGGCAAAAAGTTAGGTCTACAGTTATTTGTATGGAAAAATAACATAGTGATTAATAAATAGTAATGCAAGAATAAACCCTGTGTTTCAAGGACTCACAGCTGTACACTTACTTTTGCCAATGCCTGTGGATGTGGATAAATTAACATGAGGGAGAAGTGTGTCATTTAGAAGCTGCTGTCATCAGAGCATCCCCCCGTTGGGGACACACATCAGTGCCTCACTGCTGGTGACTTCAGCTCCTGATGAGCATTCTTTCCTGGCCTCCTCTCAACTCAGGTTCCCAAGAGTCTCAATTTAAGAATATGATATACTTAGATAATCTGGGAATTTCAGGGCTTGGGCTACGTTAAGCAGAACATACACTTCGTTGGTTTTGCATCATTATCTTTGTGCCTTTTTATAGAAAGAACACCAGACCTGAAGTCATAATGCTCTGCTTGGAGGTCAGGTCTGCCACTTCCTGAACCACGGGCCTTCACTCAGCCTCTATTTCTTACCTGTGAACGGTGGAGGTTTTATGTATCTCATATGTGGTTAGGAATTAAATGAGACAGTATGTGTAAAAAGTGCTTTGAATACTATAGGATTATAGTTTAACATTCAAAGGATCCAAAGGCCTTTGAGAATACCGTTTGAAAGCATATTTTTCTTAATATCTTGCATATTTATACTTACGTTTTGGTTAGAGAAAAATAGTTCTTAGGAACTGAGGCAGGAATGGGCAGTAGTGTCTGCATCTTGGAAGAGGTCATTCTCAAAATGTTCAAATGATCCTTGATGCAGTGCCCACAATTTGTTAACTGCTGATGTCATGACAACAAGGAGATTTCCTTTCATTTAAAAGTGACAACGCCTTAGCTAGACAGCAAATGTTGGACATGGATCTTGAATTTCAATCTTCTCACATCTCATTTAAAATACTTGGAAATATTACATGTTTCAAATTTACATAAATAGTATAACTCCTAACAATTTCTGTTCATTTCCAAAGATTATTGAGAGAATCAAATGGGACAATAAATGTAAAAACATAAACTGTACAGCAATGTATAAATGTAAGGGGATTGAAAGAATGATAATTAAAGAGAATGAAAAATCAGTGAAGTTTTGGAAGAATACTGGTTGGGGGTGAAAAACTGTTGGCCACACTAAAGTTCAAGAAAAGGTGATGATTTAAATGGTGTATTTCTTTCTTTTTCTTTTCTTAGTGAATGGGAGCCATTCAATTTTTATTTTTTATTTCTTTTTTGTTGATTTTTGGAGAGAGTGGGAGGGAAAGAAAAAGAGAAACATTGATATGACAGCAAAACATCAACTGGCTACCTCCTGCATGTTCCCTACCAGGGATGGAGACCAAAATCCTAGATTTGCCCTGACCAGGATTTGAAATCGCAACCTTTCAGTGCATGGGACCATGACCAACCAACTGAGCCACATCAGCCAGGGCTAAATGGTATATTTCTTAAAATGACAACAAAAACAACAACAAAATCCCAAAGGAATCTGCAAGAATAACAGGGAAAGACTGACCAGAGAGGAGCCAACCTTCAATTTCATTGTAAAGCTTAAGAACAATGTTGTATCCTTAAACCCACCTACTTCTTATCAAAAGAGAAGGAGAGAGTACAATAACTGAACATCAGGAGACTGCTAAGGCCTGCTAGCAGAGGCACATAGGTCTTCTGTGGAAGTGCTTTCTGCTCCTGGGTCGTGGACAGTCTGGTAAGAATCACTTGGGCACCTGTTCAAATGCAGATTCTTGGACACCCAGACTAACTGAATTAGAATTGTGAGAAAAGATGGGAGGAGTTGACCCGGAATCTACTTTAAGGCATATCTTAGCTAACTCTTAAAAATTTTAATGTCTATATTCATTAATATTATCCCAAATGCAAATATGAGGCTTTTGGAACAGAATAGGTTATTACTTACATAAAATTATTACACTGGTTCCCCATACCGTAATTTTCTCTCTCTCCATAATGAGAACCAGATGTCCTAAACTTGATCTACACTGTAGTTGAGAAATCTAAAAAATATGAATCTGGACGGTTATATAGAAGAGGGCCAGCTGTTCCTGCCTCGCCTCTGAGAAGGGAGAGAAATCCTATCTCCTCAATGTAAACAAATTCAACTTGAGAAGGATCTTGGGTTCTCAGCCTTTGGAAAGAAATATAAATCCTGGGGGATATAAAACAAGTTATCTCCAGCTTCACAAGCTTGGGACTGTCTCTATAGAGAGGTCTAAGGCCCCTCTCCCCATCCACACTCCTTAAAAATGGAACTGCACATTGGGGAGTTGGCTCTCTCTGTAGATCTCACTGTCTATCCAGAATTTAACTTCTGAGGTTTGTCTTTTAGCTTAGGCCCTACATCCCGTGAAAAATGCTGAAAAAGCTCTAAAATAAAACTATTTCCTCAGCAGTCTCACGCTCTTATTAGTGGGCATAGGATTTATTTTTCTTATTTGGTTATACATTTCTGAGTCAATCAAATGATGTGGGAAATTCGTTAGATGTTCCATCCACAATTCAAATAAAGCATTGTAGTGCTTTGATACATGAATACTATTTTAAGTTATACATAGGCCATTATCAAAGACAGCTAGACTATCTTTTCCTATTCCCAAGTGCACTGCCTTTGTAACAACCCTTTTAGAACCACTAACCTTTGCAAGAAATAAGATTATTGGTACCTAATTTTTGTCATTCTAATGACTTATTTGGAAAGGACTTTGGGTAGTTCAAATCCTGGCCAGGCAACATTCCAAACAAAATCTGAAGACCACATCTAAACGCTTCCATAAAATCCTCACTGCCAGGAAAATATCCAAGACTGATCATTCCAGATGCACCTAGCCATCCAGTGCAGAAGCAGGCCTGGAGGCCACAGTGGGAGTGTGATGAAGGAGGGGAGGGAAGCTCAGCCTCAGTGATATCCAGAGGCTTTCTCCGACAATGAAGACAATGGAAGGCACACACAGAGGAAAAGTCACATAGAAAGCAATGCAAGCCCACATCTAATGAGATGGCCACGTCCTCATAGCTATAAACCACCAGGTTCTGGGGTTTTCTGAAGAATATTTCCCAATTCTCCAGGAGGGCTGGCTGTGCCCCTCTGAGGCTGTATCCTATCCCCCTCCTTTATTTGTGTATCCTCGATTCTAACACCCCCTCCATACACTGATGCAACCCCAATGTGTTTGTCAGTATCCACAAAGAGCTGAACAGGCATGCTTCCATTTGCTTGGACCTTGAGTAGAGAATGTTCATCTTAAAAAAGTGAACTCTCCACTACTTTAAACTCATAGACCCATCAGCTTTCCAGACATGCTTTGTAAAATAAATGCCAATTTCCTTCCAGATAAATTGAACTATTGAGTCTACAAAAAGAGCTCAGGAGTTTTGGTAACAGTTATTCTATTACTGACCACTCTTAGTCTGTTGCACTTGGTGGAGAAATGTATTAAGAATAAGGTAGAATTCTTCTTACCTCCTTCCCTTACTCCTTCCTTTCTTAACATTTTTTAACTCTCAGGACAGGTTAGGGGCTAAGGTACTAACTCTATATTCATCCTTCATAATCCCCTTGAAAAATCAAGATCAGTGGAAATAAATTCTTAATGGATCTGAAAAGAGTTTCTAGCTATGTGCTCTGTTTTCCTTCACAGCTTGGACACTAATGGCTCATTGTCATTTTGGGGAAAAATAGAAGCAAATCATAGCTACATTTCTGATTATTTTATTGTTAGGAACTGGAAGGAATTAAGTCTCGGTAATAATAAAATATCAGTTGGGGTTGGGTGATGAGGTGGGAAAGTAAGTTTCCTGGCAATTAAATGGTTTCTAGCTTACAACTCTATAGAACAATGAACTCATTTATATACATCTTGGAACTAGATTAACCTGGGGTGAGAACCCCAAAAATAAATTGCTAAGGTAAACACTCCATGGTGATTTTAGGGGATTGGTTTTAACTTGGAATACAAGGTAAGTTAGGGCACATACCTAAGGTTGTAGGTACAATCCCTGGCCAGGGTGCTTATGGGAGGCAACTGAACCATTTCTTTCTCTCTCTCTCTCTCCCTTCCTTTCTCACTACACCCCTCTAGAGTGATGCATTTATTCCCAGTTCCCTGCAGCTGCTGTGCGACCTTGTGGCTAAGGGTCCTCAACACCCATCTACCTCCAGGGTCCCAGGAAGCCAGCTCAGCTGCACTAAGCTCCCACCTGGCAGTAATTGTCCTTTCTGGAGTACCTTTTGTAAGGTTCTGGACCCATTATCAATCTATTTAGAAGAACAAAGGCTGCCATTTGGATTTGATTAGTGTTAACCAAATTACTGTGATAGCTCAAAAAATTACCTTTTTGAAACAGAAAAAGTCTCTCTTCTTCACTATTCTACTATTTTCATTAGGTGAATTCCTTTCAGTTGTCAGAATTCTACTGTAATTACAAATAATTTGAAAATGATGATCCTAATTTAAAACTATTCTATAGCGTTGGCACACATGGAACCACCTGTGATGACTGAAGCAGAGACCGCAGGGCTAGTGTTGTAAAGCTGCAGAGCTGGCCAGGCAGCCGAGAGGGAAGTCTGGCTGGTTCAAAAGCTGGCATTAGCTGTGATGAGACAGTGTGCACATGACAGTCTGCCATCAGCCACCCAAGGTTTTGCCTAGAGCAGTGGTCGGCAAACTGCTGCTAGCGAGCCAAATACGACTCTTTACCCCCTTGAGTGTGGCTCTTCCAAAAATGCCATGGGCTGGGCGAGTCTATTTTGAAGAAGTCGCATTAGAAGAAGTTTAAAAAATTTGGCTCTCAAAAGAAATGTCAATCGCTGTACTGTTGATATTTGGCTCTGTTGACTAATGAGTTTGCCGACCACTGGCCTAGAATAAGGTGAGCACTCACCAACAGAATCCAGATGTGCTTGCTTTTCACCTGGAATTTATACAAAGTGGTAATACTCTGGCTACTGCCATGACATTCACTAGAACCTTTCAAGCCTGCCGAATGCCTGTGGTTCTGCCCCTTTTAGCTTCAAAAGTGAGAGGGAGTGACCACCTCAAAGGCCCAGAGAAGAAAGGGAGAAACTCAGAGGTGTCTGAGCTTCTCTCCTTTAAACAGGTTCATTACTTGTTTCTTTTATTTCCTCTAAGCATATGGGATAGTTTCCTACTCTTAACTTTAAGGCACAAAGTAGACTTTTGTATTTCTCCAAAAATCACACAAAGTTAGTAAGTCTCTTTTGAGTTGCATTATGGTCTTATTTTAACTGTGATTGTTGACCCCCTTACAAACAAAACTTTCTACCCTTTCTCCATATTACAGCATAAAGGAAATCCAACCAACAAAAATAATTAATTTGGAACTCTCTCTTGTCATCCCCCTCCCAATTCTTCTGTAATCCCAGGGAGAAGGTACAACTTCTCACACATGGTATACCAGTAAGAAAAAAAAAAAAGAAAAAAAAAAGGAAAACAAGAAACAGCAGAGGACAACCTAGGAAATGGGCAAATGGTCCCCCAATGATTTCATAGTATTTTATTCTTAGCATTTTGCCTGTATCTTTCTTACTGTGTGCTTTTGAGATGATTCCCAAATTTCATAAAGAAATATGTCAGTCAGAGAAAGACAAATACCATATGATTTCACTTATATGTGGAATCCAAGGAGCACAATAAAAGAACAAACAAAATAGAAATAGACTCTTAGACACCAAACAGAATGACAGTTGTCAGACTTGTGGGGCTAGGTGAAAAGGTGAAGGGACCGAGAAGTACAAATTGGTAGTTCCAGAATAGCCATGGGAATGAAAGTACAACTTAGGCAACATAGTCAATATTGTAATAACTAAGTATGGTGCCAGATGGGCACTTGAATATCAGGGGACCACTTTGAAAGTATCAGATTGTCTAACTACTATGCTGTATACCTGAAACTAGCACAAAATAATATTGAATATAAACTGTAATTTTTAAAAAACCAACCATTAAATGAGTAAGTACTTGAAGATGACAGGAATTATTGGAAAGACATCTGGACACTTAAAAATATCGAGGGGACCACTTTGAAAGTATCTGATTGTCTAACCACTATGCTGTATACCTGAAACTAACACAAAATAATACTGAATATAAACTGTAATTTAAAAAAAAAACACACAACCATTAGATGCGTAAGTACTTGAAGATGACAGGAAGTATTGGAAAGAAACCTAGACAGGAGACACAAGCCCCAGCTAATGGACATCAATTGCCTATTGCACAGTCCTGGGGTAATCAATTCAATGATACAGAGGCTTCACCTTCATCGGTAAAGTATGGTGTTATTATCAGCCCTCCAGGTTTTATTGTAATGACCAATGATAAATGTGAAACTTCTCTGTAACTTGCAAACAATAATAATAGCAGCAAACTGTTATCTTTATTATTATTTTTATAATAGCTTCTATGTGTCAGGTAGCATTTTAAATGTTTACATGAAAACTCACTTAAGCCTTACACTAAATGGGAAAATGGAGACACAGAGGCTAAATAACTTGTCCAAGATTTAAAAGGTGGGAGCTCTGATTCAAACCCAGGCAGTTGAACTTCAGAGCTCTATGCTTTACCGAGCTGAGTTTGAATGAATTATCACAGAAGGGAACTGGGAAAATTTGAAAACATGCTTCGAAAAGCCCACTTCTCTAAAGGAAAGTCTTTACAGTGCAGTACACATAGTTGACAGGGCTACCAACGAACAGCTGATTTCAGAAGGAGACGGTCATCATTCTTATATGTGTGGGAATTCAACTGTCTTGAAAGCCAATAGGTACTTACTACCAATTGGCATCATTATTCTGTACTTAAATATTTGGTGAAAATTCTGCAATTGAGGCAATGGATATTCCAAGGCCCAGTATAGGCTTTAGTTGGAGTAAGACATAGAAATTGTGGAATTTTTCTTTCATCTCACTATAGGTACACTGAAGATCCTGGCCACTGATTTTGGTGAACAGTGGGAGTGGGTCAGGGAGTTTAGCTATAGAGATGAACCTGTGTCCTCCATCACTCACCCGTACCTGCTACTTGGAGAAAACCTACTGGCTTCTTTTTCTTTTTCTTTCCATTTCTTTCCCTTGTTGGAGTTCCTTCGCAATGGTGCCCTATAAAGGCAGACACATTCAGAAAGGGAAAGCGGGCATGCTCTCTTTTAGTCCTCCTTTTACAAAGGGCTTGCCTTTCACATCATGAAGTGCTTACCCCAGATCCACAAACTTCCGCTTAATTTTCCCTCCTTGCACCGCCAATGAACTGGACGCCCTTAGTGATTTGGGACCTTTGGCACCGTCTAGAATATATACATACGTAAAGAAAGATCAGTTATTATTATTTGTAAAGCTATGAGTCAAAAGTAATTGCATCTCTGAAGGGATCTGACTCAATTTCTAACTGTAAAAGAAAATAATGGATGCTTTTTAAAAAAAAGATCTAGGAAACGTCGCTATGCTAAGGAACATTCGGTTAAGCTAGAATTTGTCCTGATGGATCAAGGACAAAGAGCTTTAGCTTCAAAAATATTGAAATGGCCGAAACCGGTTTGGCTCAGTGGTAGAGCACCGGTCTGCGGACTGAAAGGTCCCAGGTTCGATTCCGGTCAAGGGCATGTACCTTGGTTGCGGGCATATCCCCGGTAGGGGGTGTGCAGGAGGCAGCTGGTCGATGTTTCTATCTCATCAATGTTCTAGCTCTCTATCTCTCTCCTTTCCTCTCTGTAGAAAATCAATAAAATATATTAAAAAATATTGAAATGAACAAAATAAGGAGGAATAAACACTATCAAGTTACCCCTTACATTAACAGCAGGGACCAACATAACTTTCCTTTTGTTCTATCTAGTTCTCTTTATCTCTTGGATCCCGTACAGAAAGCCACCCCTGAGAGTAAGAGAGATTAAGGGAGAAAGTGATAGGCAGAGCTTTCCCTTCCGGTCCAATGGCCTGTGGCCAGTCTGGGGCCAGAGGAAGGCAGAACATGGGGAAGACTTTCTTAAACAGGGGCTCAGCTCTAAGACATTGATATCTTTGAAAGGTCTCTCTTTGAAGTTGGGTTGGAGCATAACTTGGCCGGCCTCCTGTGATGGCGAAGATGCCAAGTGCTCCTCGGTGTTTGGAGCTGAATGACCTTTGCCCCCTGAGTTAAGCTGGCAGTCCGAATGGCAGCAGCTGCTGGGGATGCGCACACTCAAAATAAAGCCAAAAACCAATCAGTGGAGAGAGACTCTGCGAATGGAGTTCAATATTAAATGTAGGAGACAGAGTTTACTGGTGCAACTCATTCCACTCTAGACAAGGTGGAAAACTCCTAAGGCTCTACCTGGAACCATTTAGCAAAGGATGCTGTTTAGTATTATCTTTCAGCATATCCAGTTATCTGAGATGATTAGCAAGGGGTGCTTTAATATTAATGCATATGAGAGTGTGAAACTACTCCTCCCTAATTATTGTTGTCTATCTTTATTTCTTTAAAATTTAAAAACTTCCAGCAACTTCCTGGCATGGAGCACCGAGAGAATAGTCCTCCTAAGAATGTGTTCAATTAATCATGCAGGTTTATTTTATTTATTTTAGGAGAAATTTCTTAACATGCATCCTTACAAAACACACAGTTCTCATTTAGGAGTCTATGTTCAAAGCTCTAAAGAAGCACAGGATATTAGCAAACATTCTAAGGGTTCTTCTCAATGAACTTTTCATATTTTTAGTTAATGACACTCAGATTACAATAATTCCTTGAAATGTACGTGATAAAATACAAGAGTCAGAAATATATCCATGTCCAAGTCCACTTCTAACCTGAAATATTTATTATGAGTATTTGCATCGTTACTCTTTGAGTAACTGAATTAATCAGCCACAGATGTGACACAGACACAAGGAAAATCCATGGACATGGCACAGATACCTTCTGAGGTGGTTTTGCTAGTGGACATTAAAAAAAAAAAAAATAGCAGAATTTCAATTCTCCTAAGAGAAGCCAGAGAAAAGAAAGTGTTGGATCCTTCCAGATCAATCTTAAAGTAACTCTTAATGGCTAGTACTGTGCAAAGTTAAAAAGAAGACTGCCTGATTATTTTCTCAGAGGTAGCTGAGATGGGAAATGTTTTAACGAGTGGTGAGAGGACCAGATGAGACAATGTACTTGGATGCACTTTGTGACCTATTAGAGTTGCAGTTACTGGACCTCTTGGGACTAAAAGCCCGATTATACCCATCACAGAGCCTGCTGCTAGGTAACCTCACATCATTATCTCACACATTTGCCAAAGTGTGTTCCACGGAACACTTATGTGAATGCCTTCAAAAGACTGAAGAGGCAAGATTAAGTAACAATACACTTTCCCATTTCAAATCAATCAAGTACCTTTTAATGAACATCAGAACCTCTAGTCTACATAAAAAGCAACATTGGATCATTATGATTTCAGGGGGGAAAAATAGAAATGTGACCTTTTGTTTGTTTATTTAGCGGTATGTAAAATTCTACTAGGCTTTTTGAAATCTCTCCAATACTTCCTTCCTGAGCAATCAGAAGTCTGCTGACCTGGTCCTCATTTCCAAAGGCACTGAAAGAACTCCTGACAGCTAAAATATGGAGGCTTTTATGGACTTCATTCTCCTCCACCTTAGGGCAAAAGACTCCTGATTACCTCCGAGGCCTGGCTCCTCTCTTGAGTGTACAATCTCCTCTATTACAAAATGAGATGATCATCTTTCCCCCATAATATTTCTGATTTCCTATTTTCTATTAAAGACAAAACCGTATTTTCTGAGGCTAAAAACCTGTGATAAGTTTTGAACCCCTCACTTTCTCCCCTCTATGTCTAGTCAACGTCTGTGTCAAAGGTTCTTGCATCTTCACTGCTCCTCCTTAGTTAGAGGAGATCCCCTCAGAGTCTCTCCTAACTCATCTTTCCCATACCAAGTGTATTTCATTCTTATTCCTCTGCTCAAACATCTTGTGGTTTCCTAGTAAGGCAAGGTACCTAAGGTATTTAAATTCTATAACTGTGGACTGAACCTACGGTTCAATTTTATGTGCAACCGCTCTTAGCACACATAGACAAACTGCTTCAGGCAGGCTGGGGCAGCACCATTCCTTTAAATTCAGCTTACTTGTGCCTATCTCTGGCAATGCCATCTCTCCCTGCTCAACATACCTTCCTTACCCACCCTTCTGCTTTTTTAGTTCCTCCGTCGTTACTCTAACTGTATGTTCTTTTTTAACGTCCTATTTGCCAATCTCAGCTGGATATTATATTGCCCTCTTCTGAGCAATGATACAATTTAATATGTATTATTATATATTAATTTAATATTATATATGAAGGCCTAATGCAATATGTTAATAGTAAATGAATCCTGAAAATATTTCTACTTGCCAGGACATTAATTCAACAAATATTTCTGAAGGCATGTTCTGTATCTGGCAATGTGCTAATAGTCACATGTAAAATTAGAATAGTAATCTCTAGGTATCAACAGTAGAAAACTGATAGTGTTTAATTTACTCTACTTAACCTTGTCTGAATAAAGGTCTATTGCTACATAAGTCTAGAGACCAGCAGTTCAGTATTAGATTACTCAGAAAATAGGCATGAAGACAACATATTCATGCCTCCTATTATCATATAACTTGTTTTATAAATCTCTAGAAATAGTCTTTTACTTCCTCTAATTTTAACTCAAATGGGATTAAACATTTATCATTTAGCCAATTACAATGAGACTTTTTTAAATCTTAGTTTCCACTAAGATCCCACAAATATCACAACAAAATGATGACTTGCGAATGCAATATTGACTTGAGTTAGAAACCTTTCACTTCAATTAGGTGTTCAATCACACCACCAAGTTATTTTCGGAATTGCAATCCAATATAGCTATAACTTAATCATTAACTTTATAGTAAATTGACAGACCAAAAGCAGTGGTATATTACTGTTTAAAAATCTAGATAAAGGGTAATCAATGACTAAGACACTTTCAGAGTTTATCTGGTAATGTTCAGTGGAAGGAAATTTATGTCTAGACTAGGGGATAGCAAGCTCTCTCTGTAAAAAAAAAAAAATAGGTTTGTGGGCTCTTGTCTCTGTGACAACTACTCAATTCTGCTCTTTTAAAAAAAAATATATATTATATTGATTTTTTACAGAGAGGAAGGGAGAGGGATAGAGAGCTAGAAACATCGATGAGAGAGAAACACTGACCAGCTGCCTTCTGCACACCTCTTACTGGGGATGTGCCCGCAACCAAGGTACATGCCCTTGACTAGAATCGAACCTGGGAACTTTCAGCCCGCAGACCCACGCTCTACCACTGAGCCAAACCGGTTTCGGCTCAATTCTGCTCTTGTGGCATGAAAGCAGAGAGCACCAAACGGAGTGTAATACACAGAAGATTTTATAAGGGCAAGTGGAGGCTGGATTTGGTGTGATAACCTCTGTTCTAGAAGACCTTCATTGGTTTTCTGCAGAGACATACTTAATTCATCCAAGACACATAGTATGCATCAATTATATGCCTTACTCCTTTGGGGGGACTAAAAATACAAAGAAGAACATGATGAATGAGAAAACTTTGGCTTATACTTGACAACTAGATCACTCATCATATACAAAGGTATAGAAGCAGAAGTAACTGAAAATTTCTATGGGATATAGAGGAGAGAATAATTCCCTCTGCCTGGGAATGGAAAGGGACCCCTGAAAGGAGGCAAGATTTAAGCTGGGCTCTGAAGAAGGACTAGAAATTTCCTAGAATGGTAGGCAAGAATGTAAACGTGAAGACTAGTTTGTACTTTTGAGTCCTTTCTAGTTCATTTATTGGTGAGCCAATGACTTGTAAGAACCACGTATATAAACATACAGAGGAAAATCAAGTTAACCATACTTCACCTTTGTGCTGCCTAGGTCTGCATAGTGAATTAGTCTCATAGAACAAGAAACTCCAGGATTTTCCACAATGCTATTCTCCAAATTGGGTTTTGAAAACAACAAAGCTAGATCCTACTCTGTGAATCTATATTGTGTTGGAGCTTGAAATGTCATAAAATTGGAAGCATGTGATTTCTCTAATGTTTTAATGATACGAAGGTCCATTTTGGGAACTAGGTAGGCTGAGTCCCTGGGGGACATGAAAGAGCTATAGGATTGGTGAAACAAGCATTCATCAGTCAGCCAGTCCAATGGGCATATTCCATACATATATCCAGGTAATTTTAATTTTTTGCTCATTTTGATTTATGAATCTAACAATCAGGAGAGTACAAAAGATATGAATGATGTTGGTTATTATTTCAGTTCTATCTCCCAAAGTAAATTAAAAAATTAGTATTATGGTTCTTTCTAAGTTGAACAGCATGAATCAGTCCCTCTGAACTTGATTAAATCTGGATGCATTATTGACTTAGAATACTTAGAGTCTTGACTCTCAAAACACTGACTTGATGAGAGCTTTTGAAGGTTTTCATTCTTTTGGAAGTAGGCCAAATTACAGTCCAAGTCCTTCAACAACTTGACAACTACTTTTGATGAATTAGTGGGCTGGACATATTTTCTCTTGCCTCCACTAGCATTTTGTCCTCCCTAAGTATTTAATTTTTATCTCAAAATTTCTAGAAGAGCTGCACTTAGGACCAATCTATGGAAGATAATTCCAGCAACTGACAAGCCCAGGAAGGGAAACCAGGAGAAATATCTGAAGTAAAGCTATGTTGCTTATCAAGAGTTACAAAACAGAGTGAGCTCCCACAATCAACTCTATTTCTATGTTCACTGCGTATTTGTAGAAAGCTTACAATTTTGAATCTGATACAAGATAAATGAGTCTAGACTTTTCAAAATGCCGTGATTTGCAATCATAGCTGCAATGTAGGAGTGTGTCCCATATCACTGCTGACACTGGTTGGTGGGACTCTTGAAATGTTTTGGCAATTTGATGGGTATCTAATTTAAATGACAATTTCTCCATCATCTTTTTTATTTTAGACATAATGCAGATCTTCTCTTCAATGAATTGACAAGTTTATTTCCTTAGTATATTTTTTGCTTTAAAAAATTACTTGAAGCTATTTGTATATTAAAGTCTATTGGTTAACTTTGTATGTGTGGTCCTTTTATGCTTTTTATCTTCTAAAATCAAAACTATTTATATGATAGTTGCAGAAAAAACAATAAAACAAACCTCATTTCATTTGTCATCCCACCTCCACTGCAGTTTATACATATAAAGTCCCCGTCTGTACTTCCCTATTTCTACTCCCCGACATTCTCTCCATGTAACTTAGCTTTGTCATACCCATTCATAACTTCAATATTATGCGTGTATCTCTAAGTAATCTGCTAGTTTTATCTAACTCTATATCAATAGAATCATATATATTAGTCTATATTCACCTGTAATTTGCTTTTCAATGTCTTTTTCTAGAGATTCACCTTGTTGTACTGTTTCAGTGTGGTTTGTTCATTTTCCTGCCTGCACAGTTTATTATAGAAATATACTACAATTCATTTATCTTTTCTACTGGTGATTATTCTAGTGATTACCAGTTTTTGGTTATTCTCTGGTTTTACTATTGCACAACAGGACTGCTATGAATATATATTCCTGTACATGATTCTTAGAAATCCAAGTGCAGGATTTCTTTTGGATATATAAACAGGTGAGGATTTGCTGGGTAGGGACATTTTCAAACTTACTAGGTAATGCCAAATGATTTCTAAAGAGCTTGTACCAATTTACACTTCCACCAGCAAATATCTGATTTTATGGTTGTCTCACATATTCACCAGCATTTGGTAATATCAGATTATAATATTTTTGGCAATCTGGTAGGTATAAAATAGTATCTCATTTGGTGTACTTCATAGTTTCCTGATTACTAATGGAGTTAAACACCTTTTGTAAATATTACAGGCATTTGATTTTTATTTTCTATAAAGTGCCTTGTTCAAGACATTACAGATTTTCCTACTGGATTATTTGTCTTTTTTTTTTTTTTTAGGGTTTTATGGGAATTATTTACACAATCTGGACAGTAATTCTTTGTAAATTACATGGGCAGTAAATATCTTCTCTCAAGTTTTAGGGCTTCTTTATTGGGTCTTTTGAGAAATAGAATGTTCTAGTTTTACTTTATCTATCTTTTCCTTATGGTTTATGCTTTTTGCATCTTGTTTAAGAAAACCTTCCCTATCCTGAAGACACAAAATGTTCTCCTCTATAGTTTTTAAAGTTTTATAGTTTTGTATTATCTAATTAAATATTGAATCCTCCTTGAATGAAATCTTTACATGGTATATGTATAATTTTTAAAAATATGGATAATCAGCTTTCCTAGAACAACTTATTAAAAACTATCCTTTCTCTACCTACCTACACATGCAACTGTCATAAAATGTATGTGTATATAAAACCTGCTTCTAAGCTCTTTGTCTGTTTATTTATATACCTCTGCATAAACAAAATGCAGAATTAAATAATTCCAGGTATCAGGTAAGCAAGATCCTCCACTTCAGTCTTCTTCAAGAGTTTCAGGTACTTTTGGACTCTTTTTCTTTCTTATAAATTTATTATCAGCCTGTCAAGTTCCACAAAATGTCTGTTGTACTGAATCTCCAGTTAAGTATTGAGAGAAATGATATTTCTTTCTTGCTATTCAATTTTTTTAAATGACAAAATAATTTTTACAGTGAACAAACATATATCCACCCTCTAGTTTCTGTAACTTCCATTTTGATACATTTTCTTTATCATATAACAATTCCTCTACTTATCTATTAATCCATTAACTTTTAATCCATTAATTTTTAATTGCATTTCAAAGTAAGTTGCAGACACTTCACTCTTATACTTACCATGGAATCGATTTTTACATATTTATTTTATATCTTTTTTTTCAGATGTGAAAGATAATACAGCTGACTCTTGAACAATATGGGTTTGAACTGTATGGGTCCTACTATACACACATTTATTTTTTTATTTTTTTATTTTGTACAGAGAGGAAGGGAGAGAGATAGAGAGTTAGAAACATCAATGAGAGAGAGTCATCGATCAGTTGCCTCTTGCACACCCCCTACTGGGGATGTGCCTGCAACCAAGGTACATGCCCTTGACCAGAATCAAACCTGGGATCTTTCAGTCCCCAAGCCGACACTCTATCCATTGAGCCAAACAGGTTTCGGCTATACACACATTTTTAAAAATAAATATACAGTCAGCCCTCTGCATCTTCACATTTTGCATCCATGGATTCAACCAACCATGGATTAAAAACAGTATTTTTTTAAAAAATATATTTTTATTGATTTTTTACAGAGAGGAAGGAGATAGATAGACAGCTAGAAACGTCGATGAGAGAGAAACATCGACCAGCTGCCTCTTGCACACCCCCTACCGGGGATGTGCCTGCAACCAATGTACATGCCCTTGACCGGAATCGAACCTGGGACCTTTCAGTCCACAGACCGACACTATACCACTGAGCCAAACCGGCTTTGGCTAAAAACAGTATTTTTGATCTGCAGTTGGGAATCTATGGATATGGAAGACCAACTGTATGCCTTATTCTATACCATTTTATATAAGAGTTTTGAGCATTTACAACTTTGAGTGTCTGTGGGGAATCCTGGAACCAACCTTCATGGATACCAAAGGATAAATGTAGTTAAGTTGTTGGGAAGTCCAAAGTTATATGTGGATTTTCAACTGTGTCAGGGTCAGCACTCCTAGTCCACATTACTCAAGGGTTACTATATAACCCAATATACTTGGTGACTTCAAAGGAACATGTCCGATGTGGCAGCAAGAGGATGAACCTATTCTTTTTTCATCTATGCATCATTTAACTTGTTTACACAAAAATTGATTACTTCTATAAATTAAAACATACTATTAAAAAAGACAAAAGTGTACTGACACTGCTTTGAAATTCTGGTGTTAATTCTAGAAGCTTCTTATAATAATTAATACATTAATCTCCTTGCATTACCTTTATTAGAGCTTTCTACTACATTTGCATTATAAATCATTATTGTGAAAATTTCTTCTAAGTAAAAAACCAAACTAATAGGCTAATATCTATATCACCTTCATCCATATGCATAAATATATATATTTTTTCTATATGTCTATGTTAGTGTTTATTGAAACTCGGCTGCTATTCCACAAAATCTCTAGAAGGCTTCCTGAATAACATCCTTCATTAGTAAACTTGTGGAGAGTTGAAGAGATAAAAATACTAACTAGGTAGGAAAAGATAAACATAAATAAATGGAAGAGGAATGTTCTCTTATCCCATAACATTAAAAAAGCAATATTAATTATTTAGCTGTGAGGAGACAACGAACTTACAATTATGAGAAAAAATGTTATTTTTACATTGCAGAAATCAAGGGGTTAATTAGACACAATGAAAGAAAAAAATTAACAGTACCTTTTTCTTGAGATATTTTCTTGGTGGCGGCTTGATGATGGCAAGGAGATTCTTCAATTTCATGATCAGATTTTGAAGGAGAGGAGAGTGAACTGTCTCCCCAAGTAGAGGAGGAAGGCTCCCTCTCTGGGTGCAGGGGTCCTTGAGATTCAGTTATCTGGTCAGACTTGGAGAAGGGCATACTGACAGCCTCGGAAGTGAGGGATGAAGCACCAGAATCTGATTCTGGAGAAGAAGTTCGCAAACCCTTGGGCAGAAGTGATTTGGTAATGTGCATGTGGTTACAGAAACTGTTTGAAGGCTGTCGATATAAGAGATTATAGAGGAGGTTATGCCACTGAGCATCGGTTCCATGTAATACTTACTTTGAAATCAAATTGACCTTATTTTTTGTGAATCCCCATGAAAACCAATTTTATTTGTTGGTTTACAAATGAGACTCCATAGTTCACAACGACTCACCATATTACCATAGTAACTAACACAGACACCCGAGACATACTGGAACAATTATTTGTACATTCATTATTTCCTACTAGGTAGAACCAACTGCTGAATATAAAAAATACCATCATGAAATATGACAATGTAGGTAATGTTCTTGGTTAGTTCACCGAATTAGTATAGAAAGAACTTGAATGACAACAATATATTCAGTTGAGTCAAGATTTTGGAGAGGAAAAAAGTGAACTATTCCAGATATTTCAAATGAGGCCATAGAATCTGGTTGCAGAAAAATCTATAAACTGTAGGAATAAGGACAGAGCTCAACACTGTAATTAGGAAACGGTCAAGGGCACTCACCTTTCGCTCTAGACTGTCTTCCCCGTCTGTTGAACTGACACTATCATAGAGCCTTGTCCTGGAGGGCCTCTGGCGTCGGCTCTTCAAGGACAGCTGGGCTCGGGTTTTCAGGGCTTTCGAATCCAGGCGCTCTGTCTCAGGGACCGCTTCGTTCAAGTCTAAGAAAAGATCGTTGCAAAGTAATCAGGGAGAGAAAGCTTTGGAGAGGACTGATAAAGAGACCACAGACACTGATAACAAAATCTTAGGGTTATCAGTCACACCAGGCAGGAAACCATGACGGCCTGTGTAATATCCCACAGGTAACCAAAAAATACATTTTAAAAAGGGGAGATCTAAAAGAAGTGTACAAAGCCTTAGGGAGAAAAACCAACACTAAAGGTAGCCAAGGCAACAACAAAAATCTAACATCCAAAGAGCATAAAACCTTCCTAAAACATAATTAGAAGAGGCACTGATTTGCATTTCCTTATTTATGTGTATGAATGCTGGAGTGTTTGATGAACAATATATAAGGGGGAAGGTCTATCAAAGTTGGGAGATCTTAGAAACTAAGGAAAAAAACCTAAGCAGGTCAGGTGTCAGGTCAAGCACAGGTGATAAAAAATGAGCATCATTGTAAATTTTCTTTAGCAAAATTTACTAATAGGCTTTTATCTTTTTCCTTTTTTCTTTTCAGAGTGGTAGTCATTAAATGAAACCATGCTGTTCAAGAAATTAATAATTAAGTACTTCTGGGTTTAAATTATTAAAATAAAGCAAATAATGGAGTTGCAAAAAATAAGTACTGATATTAATAGAATAAAACAATTTCTTACAGTAGCAGTACCCCAGGAAATTCCTTATCACAGTGAAGATAAAGTTGTGTTCTGAATATATTATAAAACCAAAAACAAGTAAGCACCTCAGGTTGTACCTCTTATGTATAAAAGTTAGCAAGTGGCATGTGATTCTAACAAAAATATTTTTCCTTACCAGATACATCTGATGAATGATAATATTTAAAGAAGATTTTGACTTCTCATTTCCCATATTTGAAAGAAAAGTGAATATTCAAAAAAGTAAAACCATTCAGCTCTATATAAAGGACAGCTAAATATTTTATAATTAGTAGTCTCTTTATGTTTTTACTTGTCAACAGATAAAAAAATTTCCTTTATCACTTTAATTTCCTTCTTCCAATAAAATCTAAACTTGCAGCTTCCCATTAAGATTTCACCAATTTTGATAACTGGGGAGAATCAACCTTACAAGCTCTTGTTTACATGTAAAACATGGAAACACAAAATAGATGAAAGCAATAATAATATCACTGGATATACTTTCGTACATGCTTATCTGTTTCATATTTGGATTTTATGTTCTTTGACATGAAGTCCTGTCACATGCACCATCTCATGTGTCCTCGCAACAGCTCCAAGTGACAAAGCAGCCAAGTATGCTTTCCCTCTCCTGAGCTCAGAGAACTTGAGTAACTTGCGGTCATCTACATAGCTAGCTGATGAACTGCCATGACCATTCTAGCTTTTTGGACTCCCAGGCTACTACTCTCCAATTTAGTGTTGAACAAGATACAGAGTAAGATTTTAAAGGCGTCCGAGTCCAGTATTTTCTACTGTAAAATCACATTTGGTGTGACTAGAAATGCACTTCTCCAACAGGCTATATAAGGACCCTGACCATTAACCTCCCACATAGGTGTTAAGAAAGCATAAAAAAGGGAAGACATTGAAAATTATAGGGAAAATGATTTCTTATTTGGTTGGTTTAAGAATAACTTTGGCTACTTGTTGACAAAAAGACCTAAGGAGGAAGCTCATTCTACTTATGTGAGTATGGGTCCTCTCGCAATAGAATCCTGCCTGCGGCAGACCCGGCACAGCACTCAACTCCATCACTAGGTACAGAACAACAGGGTGAGGGAACAGGAGAACTACTTATTAGCAGGGTTTAGACTATAGAGAATTCATTCTGGGACTTCTGACTCCATTACTATTGGGTAATTTACCAGGTCCTGGTGTCAGTCAATCCCCAAATGGCAATTTGGTGCATCTGCTTTAGTACCAGCTAGCACTGACTCGGTTCAACCCGCTGGAGGGCACACATGGAGCTGCCTCTTTTAAAGATGAAGCCAGCTGGAACCTGAAAAGCAGTGCCTTAAATACATGATCCAAGTGGCCAAAAGCGTGGAACCCAATAAACAACTTCTGAGTGTCTGGAAACAAAGAACTCGGGGCCACTCTGTAGTAATGATTCATGGATTACAAACCAGTCATCCATATTCCAATTGAGAAAAAAAGGTTTTAAAGTACAAAAAACTGTAAAAATGGAATATAGCTGATAACATTCACTTCAACAGCTCTTATATCAGAAGGAACCTGGAAGAAATGTTGCCCAAGAGACATCACAAGTAACCCCCCTCATCCTCCTGAGGAGTATTAGAGGGGATGAGTGAGATAGCAGAAAATGTGGATAGGACTTCTGCTTCTGGGTCCTGGAAGGGATCTGTTTGACCACTATAAGCTATCTTTTCTAGCATGTCATATAAGAATCAGAATATGAACATTCAAAAGAAGCGTAAAGATACCCTAGCCTACCCTTCTTTCTCAGGAAAACTAAAGCTTAAAGGTTAGAAACTTCTCTACCAACTGCAACGGATGGTTAGTCTGTGGAAGAGACTATACAGAGTTCAATTTCAGAAGCTTATCCACCCAGAAGGTCTCTCTAAAGTCTGAAAGTAAACCTCACAGGTAATCTGCCTTCTCCAAATCCTCTTTTTAGTCTTACTTTAGGTTTCAAACTAACGTCCAGGGCTAACTTTGCAAATTCCCAGAAGTATTGTATATAGTGCTACAAGAAAATTATATATATAGGGATTTCATTTAGCTTTATATTTATCCAATAACATTCTTACTTTGGAAAAAAACACACACAACTATGTAAAAATTTTGTGGATGGTGAGGAGGCAGGAGAAATCTGACGGGCTTCATGATTGAAGCTGTGTGCCACTAAATGTAAGGGTTCGGGTGGCCATGCTCACTCACTGCCATTCATTCTCTACAGGGATCGTAGTCAATAGCACAACATTGCTCATCCAAAGCAATGGTTCTTCCTCTGCCGCTTCTTTCCAGAGCACCTTGTCTGTTGTCCATAAGAATAAGAGGGAATTTTTACTTTTCCTTTCCCCTTTCTTCTCTATTCTTTCTTTCAGACCCTCCAGTCTCTGAAATAGCCTTTTTCAGACTCAAATTCAACTAAAATACAAAAGAAGAGCAAACTCAAGTAAATCAATAAACATAAAAGAGAAAGATACAGAAAAGATATGAAGTAGCTGATGATAGAGCAGTTTTGAGTAGGTGGGGACTCAGCTTCAAAATACCTGCATCTTAAAAACAGTCTTCTTATTGCTTTGAATTGGATCCTCCAAAGCAATTTAATGCATCTGAATATGATTTTAGCAACTGTAATGAAAAATGTTCTGTGAAATTAGGATGCTATATATCATATTTCACAGAGATCGGTTCCCTAAAGCAATTCTCGGAGTCATTCAGGTTTTTTTTCCCCACCAGATTGACGTTATTTTTGACGTAAATGGAATGCTGCCCACGGATCAGACACAGACGGCGGCAGGGAAGTAGGGGAATGGAGCAGCATGACAATAGGATCTGCTCCGCATTCGTACGTGCATTATTCTCCTCAAAACAGTCAGACCTTAGACCATCATGCTGCCTGGCTTGTGCTATGATCAACGGAAATGCTGAGCATAATGAGACACTTGGTGACCTTTTTAAACTTGAACGTAACCTGCAATCAGTTACTGCAGATTCATAAAAGAAGGGCCCCTGGGGCTTTGGGTTCATACACACAGCATTCAGAGACAGTTTTATGAATCACACAGGGGCAGTGCAAAACAGTTACCTAGGGAGTAGCCCTGGAGTTAGTCTTCCTTGCATAGGACCCAGAACAATGGCTCTGCCACTAAATTGAGTAATTGACCTAAACTCTCTGTCCTTCAGAATCCTCAATTGCAAAATTGGCATGGTAATAACATATCATAATAATAATTGCATTTTATGAGGACTAAAGGCATAAAAAGATACATAAATGCTTAGAAGAATGACTGGTACATAATAATCACTCAGTAAATGTCTTTATTCACTGACAATGAAAAGGTTAGCAATATATTCTTAAGTGCAAGTTGTATATTCTGTAAAGCAAATTGCAGACAAGAGTCTTTATGGCTTATACAGAGACAGATGTAAAACTTGCACAAAACTTGACAGGCACTTCAGGTGGTTTGTTTTTTGAGTCAGAGGACAGACTTTTGGCTTTAATGGTTTGCTAGAAAACAATCCGCTAAGTATTGATTTCTCATTCATTTGGTTTGCTCATTAAAATTTTCCATAGTGACTTATTGGGAGTGTTCACCCATTAATTAGTATGATTCAGTAATATCTCATGGCCAAAATTATTTATCTGAGATTTAGAGTTATTAAAAATAATTTGTTCTGGAAAAAAATAAAAATTGTCCATGTTTACTGAGAACTTACATCTGAATTCAGAATAAAGAAAGTTTGGATCTACTCCAGAATTCTCCTTCACTCCAATTTAGAACTAAACGATAGAATGGCATGGAATAATCACCTCATTGCTCTGTATCTAATGTTCATTGTATAAGACACTCCTGATATTACCAGGTGTACTAATTAATAATGCAGATTGTGAAATCAAAGAAAACACAATAATTTCAAGAGAAACATCAAAAGTGCTTTCTTGAAAGTAATGTCCATCGCTAGCTACACATTTCCCCCATCTTTCAGGTAATTTGTGGATACCATCCCATTAGGACTTTTCTTGTTTTGAGGCAGACCATTCAACGACCCAATTTTCCACTTCTTTGTACATTTTGAAATGCTGCTCAGAAAGTGTGTGTGCCATCGATTGGAACAAGTGGTAATCTGAAGGAGCAAGGTCTGGTGAATAAGGCAGGTGGGTTAATACTTCCCAGGCAAGATCTTTTAATGTGTCTTTAACTGGTTTTGAAGTGTGTGATGGTGCACTATCATGAAGCAAAATTACTTTGCCGTGTCTTCTGGCACATTCTGGTCATTTTACAATCAAAGAGTGGTTCAAATTGATTACTTCTTGTCAGTAGCAA